AGACATTTCGGTATGAAAGGAGTTAACTCAATGCAAGGATTATTAATAACCTGGAACTGAGGGTGACTGTACTCTAAGGTGAGAGGGGTACTTACTGGAAAACAAAAAAACAACAAATTACATTTTTGTAAGGCATCTTTCACGTCGGGAGGATGCCCCAAATAATAATAATAATAATAATCCTTGCATTTGATATAGCGCTTTTCACGTCGGGAGGACGTCCCAAAGCCCTGAAAAGAAAATTGGAAAAATAGCAACCGGTCTAGGGCACAATACAAATTATTTCTGGGGGAGGAGAGACCAGGCTTATGCTTAGGGTTTAGAACACTTTGGGAAACGGAACTCAGCCTTTAGGGGACGCCTAAACCTTGGGGATGGTCTTCCAACTTTAGGCCTGGATCCCTGCTGGTTTTGTGTGGAGAGAGGGAGGTGCTGGAGCTCCAGTCTTTCAGAGTGTTTGCCAGTCCCAGACCCAATCTCTCACTCGCCTTTGAGGAGAAGGAAAGTAAGGCAGGCAGATATTGTTAATTTTACTCGCAAGGAAGTCCATTATCAGAAGTAAGGATGGAGGGGGCTTGAGGGGACAATGACGACAAAGGAAGAGATGATTAGTGGTGGAGAAGAGAAGCTTTGTGACATACAAAGATTAGTCATATTTTCTTGAGCAATAATTGACTCCTGCCACAATCCTATAGTCTCAGCTATTTTCACCATAGTTCAGACAATTCTCCCACATTGCTTTCAGTGCATCTCAAATTTCCCTGGTCTCCTCCCCATACGTACTTAGAGAGAAATAAAGCAAAGCTTTCTTGCCCGTTCAACAGCTGCCATTGTAACTTAACTTACTGTTCCTTTGCTTTGTGTTCTTACAGTCAGCTCTAGTTCCCTAAGTAACAAAACAATCTCCCACTTTCTGCACAGCAGAGAGTGAGAACATTCAGTCGGTCTAAGAACAACAAATTTGCACAACCTTTTCGGTTCTTTGTTTCTAGTCTGCTGGAAATTGAAAGTTTGTATTTCCTTTTGACACTAAATTCTTCTCAGCATCGTGGAATAAGGGACCAAAACACTGTAGCAACCCAGTTAAGGAATATATCCAAGACTCAAATTAAACAGCAAACCTTTGTGATCAGAACAAAATAGCTATCCACAAAACGGGCTCTATTTTGTCTGGTGTGTGCCAGGCAAGAGGTGGTTTTCACATCAGTTGCGGCATTTTGCCAAGTTTGCAACACTGATTTCATACAATTATTTGCATTGCACACAGTATTCCCAAAGTCATTATGCACCACTATTTTGCAATTCACTCATGCAAAAATTCAGTGTCTGATCATCCACTTTGCCTTTCTCATGCATTGCTTTCCTGATCTGTAAGACCATTTCGTAGAACAACGTAATATCAACTATGGAACCAAGTAGATACGTACAAAGAATAACCAGATGTATTTATCCTACTCAGTTGCTCAAATAAAATCACAAAAAGTCACAGTAAAAGAGATGAAGGAGACATCCTCTTGCTCAAAAGTATTGGGGCCCATTATGTTATTGGATGGAGAACCTTAGGTCTTCAGAGATTTTTCTTCTTCAAGTAAATTGCTCTTGATCACCACCAAGAGCTGACAGTTGATTTGCGTTATTGATGAACACAATTATTGATAATAATAGTTATCCTTGCATTTGATATAGTGCCTTATCATGTGAGACATCTCAAAGCGCTTCACAACACTGTAAAGTGTAGTGACTATATGTTTTGTGGGTGAAACAAAACAGTAGAGGCGGTTATCCACACTAATTGGGGCCAGCCCAATTGCAGATAAACAAACAGTACAGATAATGTGATATCACGCAAAATAAAAATTGGTTTCTGCACTAATTAAAAAATTGTTCCATCAGGAGTTACACTGTCACTGCCGTACCAGACGAATCTCGACGACATTCTTTCTTTCTCGCTCCAAGTCTCTTTCTGAATCAATAGTTTTCTATCTCTTTCTGTGACTTTTTGTATCTCCAACTCTACACTGAACAATTCAGTAAGACAGACATACCAACAACAACAACAACATTACATTTGTATAGCGCCTTTCACGTCGGGAGGATGTCCCATGGCGCTGAGGATCAAATTGTGCACAATAAGTTACCACAGATGTTCAAAATGCTTTTAACCTCCAATATCAGCGAAAAAGGGTTAAAAATGTCTCATGTCTCTTATGTATAAGGCAGATGGCAATAATCGTGTTTCCTGTAGTTTTATCAATGGATCTGTTTTCCTAAAACTAGGGACCAGCAACAGATGCCCACTGGATTCTCAGGTCAGTTACCTTCTCAAAGAGTTGTACATATATACTTCCACAGAATGAAATCCTGTTCATTAACTGAAAAAAGTTGTAATTTATAATTGTGTCGCACATCCAGAGTGAGTTCTCTAATTACCAGTTACAATCGATCTACAATCGATCAAATCTGTAGTCCCAGGCACTTTGAGACTGACTGCTGACTGTTGGATGGAATAAGACCATCCTGCAATGGATTTGCGCCAAGATGACCAGTTAAGGCCGTTTCAGAAATATGCGTACTCCTTTAAGATTAGTTTTGGGCACTGATGAAGGGAAGTGATGCCAGTACAATGGAAGACTTTCTAAAGCTAGAGTTAGCGTCAAACATTCCCAAACGGAGACAGCTCCGGAGTACAACTATCTATATTCTACCACAAAAAATGTACCTGAGCCACAATATTAAGAGTAGCCCCTATTGCATTTGTGACTCTATCGACTTTCTACACCAAGCATCCTTTGGGTTATGAGTACCACCAGCAATTCTGTATGAGGGGTGCTGAATTTTAAGCTACTCTGTGCTGTTTATGTGCACCTACTCAAGAAAAGGCTGATACTGGCCAAACAGATGGAAGAAATGTTATGCAATCAGTCAAAACTAGATCTGTACCTCATCCCAGATGTAAAGAACACTGTGTTAACCGACTCTGCCACTGAGCTTCCTGGTGAGAAGTTTTTGTACAACTAATTTCTTTGGGTTTTGCACAGAAACAAGACACGGGCTGAGTCTAATGACTCATTCCTTCACGGATCGTGTGACAAGAAAATTTATAAAACACTGTTTTTGCATTTTCATGATGTAGTTTCATGGTCTCAGGACATTAGACAGCATATTACATTACAGTTTTACTGAACAGTATTCCCTACTTCCCCTGGGAAGCTTTGACTTTTTCTGGAACAAGAGCAGTTTAATGCTGAATCATTATAGACCCTGCTTTGCATATTGTGCCATCGGTCTGTTTCCGATTTCACAAAAAACGTCTTGGGATTGTTTATAAGTGCTGTGCGAATACTATTTTCCTCATTGCAAGTTTAGATCACACTTGTAAGACAGCATTTTGGGATTCTCAATTTAGTTTCATCATTTATTGCACACTTTCTGTCAAGGTAATAAATAGTTGATCTTACAATCATATAAGCAAGGAAAATCTAAATTTTATTAAGCTAACTTTTTTTCCCTTCCAATTTCAACCTTCTAAGCCCATGCAAGACAGTACTGATCATTTGGGAACTTTGTTGATCTTACCTGGAAATCAGCAGATTCCTGCTACCCGTTGTCTCTGTAAATGTGTCAATCCTATCATACTTTTCTTTGAATTATGTTGCAGTAATTTCTCCCGTCCAGACGCATGTTTGCAGCAATAAATAACATTTTCACACCAGCTTCATAAGTATTAAAACAAATTTTGTTGAGAAAATGGGTGTAAAATCTTTTATTTGTCAAAATTTCCAACAGGTGCAGTAATTTACTAACAGTAATAGTTTGAAGTGAGGGTAGATATTTGGTTCTTCTAACCCACCCAATCCAACTTCCTGAACGTATCTATTTAATTGCTTAATAATTCTGAATCCTTTTCGTGGAAATTTAACTTTGTGGCAAAATTAGTACAGTGCTGCAGTTTTGGTTGTATATTCGTGAGCATTGGAGGGTGTGGTAGCTGTTTATTGTCTTCACAACCATAAAATAGGATAAATGTTTCCATTGGTCACTTCACAATTGTTGATATTAAAATGGACAGAGTTAAATAAAGCGCTCAGGTAAACCAGTGATGATAAAATAAAGTTTACTTCATTGCTTAATTTTTTTTTAGAAATGTGTTAGATTTAAGAGTAGGAATGAAGACAATCCAAATGCATATGAATGATTGCAATGCATCACCTTTTAGTTTGTTAATACAGCCCGACCTAAAAGGTTTACTTCACAGGCAGCTTCAAAACACATTTTGAATTAAAATGTACTGTTCAAAATAGGGATAGTGAATGAATGCAAAGGTACTTTATTCTTAAGCAATACAATCTATATATATTCTGGTCTGATTCATTTTAGTGAAATATGTATCAATGTGTATTTCATCAGGATCAGTGAATGCTTTCTGCTACTGAGACACGGCTGAATGAATGAAAAACTGCCTTTGGAGAAATCAAGAACTGGCGAACCTGCATTAGTTTTTTATGTGCATCTCTCCTTATGCAAATTATATTATTGCACAGATCAGAGTATCATTTCAAAATAAATGATGGGTGATACGAGGGCACCTATTTATCACCCACGTGCTCTTGGATCATACGTTTTTAATCAGTGACACATATGTACATATTGAAACATTTAAATGTTCATTTTGGAAAAAGTGCACCTCATTCATTTCAATTGCATTTGCTTTCCTACAAGTCACGACTGAGGTTAAATATTGTAGTAATACTGTTAGCTCCAGTGCTTTGAAATGTCCTACAAGTTATCATGACTGTGTTTAAAAGTGGTAATACTATAAAATGCAGTAGTTCTAAACATTAAATTGTTTTGGGTCAAAAGCGTGAATTGTATGCGGTTTTTTCATCTACTTAAATTAAAAATTTGAATCAACTTGCTTTTCCCACAAGCATCCCCTACTGGATTCTTCAAGTATAAAACTTTTAACAGATGGGAAAAGCATAAAATAAGACATCTCACAATTGTTAAGAAATGGTTTATTGTTTCACCTACAAATAGGTGCCCTCTTATCACCCACAAGAATTTATAATTAAAGTGCAGTTTCTGACTCGATCCTGCATACATAAACAATCTGAGAACCGGTTGTACATTATCTTTTTAAATGCAAAATCAATGCCACTTACATTTTTTTTTCTTGATGCATTTAATTTTTCTTTCCTGTAATTATATTAAAAGGTATGATACCTACAATACTTTTTAAAGCTTTGTCCCAGAGCTCTTGATTTTCCATCCACTGATTTAAACATTTCTCACAAATACAAACTCTCTCAAGTCAGCCGGACAGATACCAGCTTCACTGGTCGAAAGCAAACAGTTAAGTCTAATTTTCATGTTTAGGTTTTCATTCTTATGGAGAACGCCTCCCCTTTTTCAGCAACAAATGACACTGGATTGTACGAACACGATCTTTTGCTGGTGCGAACTCTGGTTGTAGTTTCAGAGTAGACTCATACCATCGCATTGCTTTTTCGTACTCCTCCTGCCAACAAGACAAAAGTATTAACTTCTTGAGGATATTGAAGTAGTCTACTCATCTTGAGAGATGTAAAATATTGCCTCAATGTTCAAGTTCTGTTACTTTCTTCAAACCAAATAGCACATGAAGATGTTTCATGTTATACGTGAACAGTAGACATTATTGACATAAGTAACTTGATTCAGTTACACATTTTCAAGAATTCTTCCCTCTCCACTCTATTTTCCATTGGCCACATTCTTAAGCAGTGAGTGGCTCCGGGACTCATTAACAAATCTTTGTTGCATTAAATTCCCTCTCTTCTACTTTGACAGTTTTTTCATTGCTTCATAACACATGTACAGTTCAAACTCAGAAAAGTCTTAGCCTATCCAATAATTTTAGCGGCCTCATAAAAATTGGCACTAGGTAACACAGAATGGCATTTTAGCTGATTTATTTTGATTAAAACCAATTGATTTTCCCCCATAAAAATTCAGATCAGTTGTCAAACAAATAATTATTCCAATCACCAGACTTTTTTCTATCTTCTAGAATGGGTGGCAAAGACAACAGGAAGCAACTGGCTGATTTATGGGTGTACAATTGGTATTTCACTGATGTTTCAATTCAACAGTTTTTCGGGTGACTAGACCTATTCCTGACAATGGTAAATTACTATTCATAATGCATCATAATATACAGAAGTTAAGGGAGTGCAAATACGTTATATTTCACCTAATTCCCTCTCCACAAATTGGTGCCCTGTTAACTGTTGGAAACATTAAAACAATTTCAATCCAACACAAAGATTTTGGATTAGTTGAAAAGAAAATTCTGTCTCATCAGTTGACTTAAAGGGTATTTCAATTCAGGTCACTTACCATTGCTACATAGACATTAGCCAGTGTAAAGTGATTTACAACAAAGTGTGGAGCAATTTCCACTGCCATAGTAGCAACCACAATTGCATCATCCCATAGTTTAGCATTGTGGAATATATTTGCCAAGCTTATCAGCGGCACATCCTGTCCGGAAGAAAGCAGAAAAACAGAATCAAACTGATGAGTTTCATGCTATGCATTTGTTCTGACTTTGCAGCTTTTGTTTGCTGGTTAGCAGGTTGCTGACTGGCTACTCAGTCTTTTGAGTGAAAATTCTGTATCCCGATAAGCAATTCTTGAGTGCTGCAAACCAATTGTTGAGGGTGGTGTCAGGGTCTCCACCTCAGGCATATTTAGATATATTCAATGTGATAAACACACTTATCACCAAAGTGACCCAAAGTAGAATTGTGACTTCAGCAGATGCCACTTATTCTGCATTTAACTTCGAAACCAGCTGAACTAGTACCTTCATGTGATGGGGTGCGTGGTGTAATCCTTGACGTAGACAGTCAATAGCTTTCTTCCCTTGGCCTTTGACCCTCCAATACAGTGCAGCCATACTTGAAAGCACCCAGGATGTTTGATTCTGATTTAAAAAAGGAATCATTAATATGGGCCACCAATACAGCAACAGAAGAATGGTAATCTAAATTGGAATGGATACACATTGCTCATGGAAAGTTTTGGTTTGGACTCTATCGGTAATATTTGCTTTATTTCCTATACTTTGTCCAATGCTGATCTTTGATGTTTCTGATCTGTAGAGAAATACGAAAATATAAAACTAATATTTGTAAAAATAAGTTAAACTATGTGGTGGTAAACCAACATATTCCACTATTGTGTCACATAAAGGCTTTGGGTCCGATCCAAGTCATTCTTATTTGATGATATCGATAAGATGCCTTGTACTTCAGCAGCAAGCTATAACAGGAGTAATATAAAATAAAGCCAAATGGTACTTTTAAAAAAAACTCTTGGGATTTGGTCTCTGTTTTCAATCTCAGTTGTTGATTGGATACAATTAAACATCCACAATAGGCAAAGAATGTTAAATTGTATCTCGTCAACAAACGTGTTCACGAGCACCCAAAGATGTATTTATAGAATGACAGGTGAAACCCTGTGTTTTATAATTGCAATTCAAATCAAACAAAACACTGAAGTCATATTCATAAACTTACCTTCTCCAACACCTTGGCAATCCGTGTTCCAACCTGCTCAAAAGACTGAGGTGGATACTTCTCTTTGCCTAGGTTCTGTAAAACCTAATGGAAAGAAACAAAGAAGAAACATTAGAGTTTAACTGTGTCAAGACGTTGTGTATTGCTACCAATATATCGCAATCTTGGAACCAACCAAGATACAGAGAATTGTATAGATAATGGATCTGTGAAATGCAGTAACCTGATTCACCAAATATCATTATGAAGATGTAATTCTGGAGCCTAAAGGACAAGGTGAATTGCTTCATACTAGTTTGTTGGAATCTGACCTGCCATAGCCCTTTTGCAACCAGTTTTTAATCTTCTGTTCATACAAGATATTTTCAACACCAGTTATTTCTTTCATCCAATATATTTTAAATTCAGTAACTTATTAACCAATACACCAATATGTATTGATCCAGTCATCTCCAGTAAGATTTAAAAAAACAGATAACACCAGTCATATACTATCTCTGAATTGAAATCCAGACTAAATTAGGAAGGTAAAATTGGATCAAAATTTAGAGGCAAACAAACTGCTTTAATCACTTGGCTTTAAATTAGCTGTCCTTTTGTAGTTTTTAGTGCAAATAGTGTGCAGTAAAAGTAGACTTGTAATGATCACATCCATTGAGACAGCATGCAACAATCTGTCACTTGTCAAGATGTTTGAACAATTATTGAATGAAATTAGTTTAAATCTTTAAGCTAATAGTCTATAATACGCAACCTCAAATGTTTCCCAGCAAAGACCCACGTCAATCATTTGCTTCAGTTTTTTCCCTTAAAGTTGTGAAGTTGGATTTTGCATTAGTTATTTGGGGGTTTGTTACTACAGCACATTTTTTGTTGTTAAAAAGTAATGAACGGAAGAGCTGATAAATTAAAAATATGAAGTAAATGACATTTTGAGAGACCTTCTCCAGTTAAACAAACCTCCTTCAGTTGGCTCTCTCCAGTATAATGTATACTGAGTCGATTTGCCACTCCATACAAATGGTCTAAGGTATGCATACTGGCAGGGAGATTGGCATTGCACACAGGTTCCACTGCTGGTTCCTGCAGTGGTGTAGCAAAGTCAATATGTTCTGTAATACTGTAGAAACACAAAATAGAATACGTTCATTGTTAATAGATGATGACTGAATTGACATAAAAGTTTGACACAAACAGCATTTCCCAGGGTATTCAGCCTCACTATTACTGTAACATTAAAAGTTCATGCTATTAATAAATGACAAAAAAGTTGGCTTACTCTATATTTTTGGCTGATACTGCTAGCCACGTGCTAGCTACAGTTGTGAGTTCCACTCTACGGATTTTCAGGCATTCATCAGGGCTGGGCCACCCAAGGCTGATATAATCTCGCCTTTTCCCTGAAACATTTCAGAAAGATTAAGTCAAGCTACAAGCAGCAGAACTTACATATGACAAATGACCGTTTCTATTTACATCTGCTTGCATTGGATTCATAAAAAATGAAACAAGTCCCAGCAGCTTTCAAATTAGATAGTTATAGGTTTAGGCTGTTTGTTTCAGTAATCACTGGCCTCACTGGCTGTTTGACAGATTGCTCTGTGATAGTGAAGACATCTCTCTCAAGCAAAGGAAAGGATCGTCTCTTGCTGAATTATCATGGAAAAACATTTTAAAACACCGTGTATTTGGGCTGAAGGATAATACGAAGCAATAAATGACCTTCAGCTGAGTTTCGGCAAAAATGGCTTCTGGATGAAATTAACACATGCCATTGAAAATCTATGTTTATTAAATACTGCAAGAAATGAGAAAAAAAATCAGAGAGAAAATGACCCCAAACCATTGCACGAATGTCCCAATGGCTGGTACAAAGTGGCAAAAAGGAGACCGCATGGTTTGTCCAACAACTTGGGCAAAGTATAGTGTTTTATGGCATAGAGATACCTAGGCAGTGGAAAGAGTAAGTATTACCATACTATCATTGCTGTCAATATAACCATTTGTTCAGTTGATAGCAGATAAGAGTGGGACCAGTGTAGTCACATCTCTTCAGTCTGCCTGGAATAACTACGTAATGTATGTGGTCATTTATTTTTAAATAACTACAAGCTCAAAAATTAGTAAGGCCACAAAATTGTAGTAGTAAATTGACATACGATTTATCCAATTTATCCAGTGTTCAAATGGTTCTTAACATAGAATGACTTATTCAGAAAAAAATGTGTATTTAATAATGTATTAAATTATCTAAACATAGGTACATGGTAAAACATATTCAAAGTGTCTATACGATCAGATCCACAGGTTCTGTGCAGTTAATCACATTTTGCAAATTTTCAACACGATTAATGTTAAAAAAAATTAAAATGAATGCAAGCATATTTTTAAAAAATAGATATTAAGAGAAAGCACAAGTGGAAGCATTCTATTAATACTATAGCAGCTGTGTGGGAAAATAGTGCTGTTTGCATTGAGTGTTCTGACCATTCATTTTAACTCAAGTATAACGCATGGCTAATATTAACAAATGAAGGGTACATCACAAAAGTGTAAAATGCTATTCTTAATGTGCCATGATTTTATATACACTCTTTTAGAATCCAACAAATGATATGGTTCAAACCCACAAAGCATACAGTGCTCTTCACGAGTGTTAATGTCACACGGTTAACAGTGATACACTAGCATGCAAGAATTGAGACACATACACACCAAAATTAGCAATTGAATCAGAATCGTCAGCTTCATAGGTAACTTTACCTTGCGGTCCTGGAGAGGGCACCTTAGGGCCACTTATTTCAAATGCAGAACGAAAGTGACCATAATCTTCCTCATTTACCAGATAACCATCATTATTTTCAGTATTCCGGCCATTGTACTCCTGAGTATCCAAGCTGTCTATTTTTGGCTTCTTGATTCGCTTAACTTGAACAGTTATCTGTTTTTAAAAAAAAATGAATAGTAAATGCTGAATTTATTAAGAGTCATTAGTTTATTATAAATACAACATCCGCAGTTACTCTGCAACATGCGGAGAAATAAACCTTGATCACTGCAGTTATTAGAGTGTAATAGCACTTCAGTAAATCGCATGATTTAATTAAAAACATACTGTAACACCCGTTTCTACCAAAATCTCTTGACAAAAAAAGGTTTACACGAACTCCACCCTTATATATTAAAATAAAATGATCATGTTGGTGGTGTGTGTTTTAAGGACAGAACACTAAGGTTCAAGTAATGTTTGAACTCCACCATATTATGTTACTACCATATAAAACTTTCCGGTCTATGTATAATCATTAATTAAGAAAATAAATCAAAGAAATAATACTTTTTATTGAGCAATGATTTTAAAAAAATGTAAAGTTAAGAAAGAGTGACTAATATTAGTCAATTTATTCAGGATTTGTTTTCTCTGAATGGTACAGAACATGCTATTATTCAAAATTTCTCAGGAGATGGTTTTGTGAGCAGAAGGAACTTAAAAGAAGGAACACTTCTTTTTAGTATTTAACTTTTCGGGACATTTTGCATTCTTAACATTTCACATCACGCAAATCAAAGCATTTGTGAACAGTTACATCAGATCTATTTGCAACAATTGATCAGTTCTACTTCCAGATTATGACTCATTTCAGAATCTTTCAAAAGGAAATAAAATGTAGAGAGAATGGCAATGAGCGCTTTGATTAGATCTAAGATGACTTTGTGCTAATAGGAATTGGTAGTTATATGAAGTGAAAATACAGTGATTACTTTTTCTTAAAACTGAGAAACTAGATCGACAAGATCTCCTTTGGTTCACTGAAATGACCCAGACAATATAATTCTCTCAGGCCATTAACAGTATTGTCTTGTATATTTGAACAAGGCCACACACAAGGTTATCATGATACTGGAGAGACATCACAATTCTTCCTCCACAAGATAAAATAGTCTACATCCATGGACTCCTTTAAATACATATAATGGATGCAAATTGAATTCTTTATTTCTATCACAGAAGTGGTCAAAGAGTTTTTTTTTTGGATGAGAATTGAATATTTGCCAGCTAAATGATTTTTGTTTGGCGCATCTCACACCATAAAATATATATCTTTGATTGCCTGAGTCACAAAGAGAATTGCCCACTGGGAGCCACAGATGAATTCATACCAGTCATATTCATAAAAGTATGAATATGAGTTGTTGTGGGAATGAAGACCAACTTAGATCAATATCCCTTTTTATTTAATCCTGTTTGTTGTGTAACTTCAGTGTCCACGCTGGCAAAAAAAAAAGTTTGTTCTGTCATAACTTAACTTACCCATTCTGCCTCCTCATCGTCATCGTCTTCACAATCTCCAAAGCAGGATCCTGGCACTCCATCCTGAACACCCTTCTTCAAAACCCGAATACCCTGCAAGTCTACCCGATGGCCTTTGACTTCAAATGCTCCCTCAAATGCTCCTAGCAGGTCTTCTTCCGAGGGCCAAGTATTTTCAAAGATGTTGGCTGTAGGAGGAGGACCTTTAGAGGGCTCCAACGTTTCGGAGATTTCACTTCTGTCAGTGCTGTTGTTTTCTGTTACAATTACATCTACAGACAAACCACGATCACAGGTTATCACACAAAAGTAAAGCGAACAATTCTCTATAGATTTTGAATAAAATCGTGTTTGCAGAAAGCTATCTTATTTCTGGAAAATTCTTATTTTTACAGGGTCTAAACTAAAATCCAGATGTCAACATTGAACAAATAAAATTGTAAATTTAAAATATTTATTGGCAAATTATTCTTACCGATTTAATAATGGAGCAGGTAGAAATATGAATATCTTAGCAACTTATAAAAGGTAAAGCAGTTATCAAGATACAGACATTAGGTAAATAATGGGCTCTTTTCATATGAATTTTCCGAGGTATAAACAGTTTCATGATTAAACTGTGCGACATCTAAATGTTATGGACTAGGCATGTTGGAGTAATCTGTAACAAAACCTTAAATGGCATGACATACCATACAATCACCATAAAATTAACCAGTGATTCCAGATATTATATCTCTTAAAGCCAAAGATTAAGAGATCATCAATGTAGATTGAAGAACTAAGGGGCATATGACGTCTTCTCCACCCAGGTCTAAATCTAAGCCCAGAAATTTCTTCAATACATTTTGACCTTCAATAATATCTGGAACTCAGCTATTTTAACACAGTATTTATAATTTAAACGAAACTAGACCAAACATTTAAGACACAAATTCAAATGACGAACAAACATTCTCTTTTGACAGATGTAGGCAGTCTCAAGAAAAATGACTAGCTTTTTCCTAGTAGACATCAGTGTACCTTACAAAACCCCTCCTGAATTCAGATGCAAGAAAGATCAAAAGAATAATGATACAAAAATTGAAAATTAGTTTCTGACAACTTTGGAAATTAGTCACAATGTGAGTAACAGCCCTGCGTGACATCTGACTCACGCTGTACTTAAGCTGGGAGGCAATTTATCAGTGGTTTATCATGACAAATTTATAGGTGCACATTATAAGTTCCATACTGTTTACATTGGAAAAACTTCTACGTTTAATAAGTCTGTAGATTGTTTTTGGTAATTCTTTCAAGTCTATTTAAATTACTTCTCATTGACAGGCCTAGCTAACGGTTGCAACAAAATTGTCATACCCTTTGGAATAGTTTTCAATTAATGCATAAATATGCCGGGTAATATTCAGGCAGCCTACAGATATATTAAAAAAATCATTTCATAATTAACTTTTTCATATCCAAACAACATCCAAATTATTTGCCTCTGATGGAATCAATAACTAGTCTTACTTTTAAGGTCAGATGGTGAGGAATCTCCAACTGAGTCTTTGAATGGATGAGAAGCCTCCTCTCGGTTTCTTTCCTTAGTGGCTTTGGCGACTCTTTGATGCTCGTCAATTACCACATCTTGTTCCCCGCTGTAACAGTTTCCTTCTAGGAAGAAGATGAAACAATGCAACATTGTTTGTATACAGCACTGACATACTACATTGGCAATCTTAATATTTCAATAACAACAATCCATCTATTTCGCTTCGTTTACAAAAAAAAATCCCCAATTCACATTTTAAACTCTAGATATATAGGGCAAAATGATGCCCAATTTGAAACATTCATACCATTACCACACCCCTCAAAAAGAAAAGATGAACGGGACACTCCTTTGTGGTGAAAGCACTTGCAATCTAGGAATTTTCATTATATTTCAGCTAAATTGCCTCAAGTTTGAATAATGCGTTGATGATGCTCTCATTTCGTCTTGAATGACGTGAACAGTGAATCTCAGGGCACACAAAGGGAGGAAGGACAATAAGAATAAAAATTAGCTCACACCAAGCAGCAGATTAAACAGAATGGGCAATGGTGTTGCATTTGTGATGTAGATTGACACCAAGTATAGCTCACAGAGCGTGCAGAACCTGTGCCTAAATTTTATTTATAGCCTGGAGGTGGCTTTTTTTGAAGGTAGAACAAGAGCACAATGTTCTTAGATGAAAGATACACAAAACAGATCAGTTGAGCCTCAGGACATTCACAGGTTTGCAACTTGAAAATTGTGTCAAATCTATCTTGTTATAATTCAAGCAGTCAGAAGCCATTTATCACTCAGAATTCTATATATAAATATATATATATTACACAAAAAAAACAATATTTAAGGGCAGATGTGCATGCACGTTTTGGCTCCACTTTTATACAAATGCTTGTACATTCAAATGGATTATGTTTTGCAAAATATCACATCCATTAAAGAAATCATTATAATAGTTCTAATTATGTTTTTTGCTGAATTCAGATTTAAAGTAAAAGATGTAATGCTAATAAAAACGATAAAGTAAACCTTTCTATAATTAAGCTGAATAAAAAGAACCAGGTTTTACACAAGTCAAAAATACACCCTAAAGTTGGGGGAAGATGAGGAGCTTGAGGCAATAGTTGATCCTGTGACAGTAAGATGAGGGACAGTAGGATCTTTAGCATATATGAAGTGGGATTTTTAATATACAAGTGAATAGGTCACATATACAGGTCAAAATATGGAGGGGGGAAAATTGGGGAAGACTTGCCAATTTTCCCCCTTTCTCTTCTCTCATAAAGCTGTTAGGGTACAGTTCACAAGCTGTCACACTCCAGTACCTGGCCATTTGACAGGCAACACGACAGTGAATGCATCGAAACCGAACTGCACATACAATTTTCTTCTGGCAGGAATCACTACATAGCAGTCAGGATCAGGAACCCTTCTATGCTCTCTAAATCAAGGGTGCCACTCCAGATATTTTTCTTTGGTTAAGAGGCAGATTACAAGCCGGTCACTGAACAAGTAAGTGGAAGTGAACCAGGATGCTTCAACCTCTTTCCTGTAGATGTGTAAATATCTGGGCACCATCAGGTGCATTTCTGATGGCATAAACAATACGTTTTTAGAGAGTTGTTGATGCATATGTCACATCTCCCCACTCCATGCTTTGGAGTCCCACCATTGCGACATCATGGTCTTCACTTGCATTGTAAACTTGATGCAAGAATTCATACAGCCAACATTTTAATATCCAATGGTGGTTTAAAATAATATTTTGATGAATATGTTACAATATTTTGCCCTCAAGTCAACATCCTGAAACTCAAAGTAGAGTATCAAAATTATACAATGGAAGTTTATTTAAATCAACCCAAGAATACAAGCAGAAGAACTGTATTTGTTTAAAATTCTTATTTGGTAAGACTTCCATTAATAATTACATTGAATTTGTAAACTAATATGTAAGACAAAGAGTAAAAGGTAAAAAGAACATTGTATTGCAGCCCAACTTATGTCCACAGAGAAAAATGATTGAGGGCATTTCAAACATGGAATTTTAAAAAATATCCATTAATATCTTGCTCATTCAAGCCTATTCCCTAGAGCAAAGGAAAGGAACAGGTTATGGTGAATTTCGTACTTAGTGACGCGTTTACTCGGCTACAGTGTACTTCCAGCATGTCTTGGAAAAGGACCCATACCTAGTGTAAGACATCTAAAATTAACTCTCCACGTCAGCAGATAAAACAGACTGGGTAATGTTATTACCACTGCCTCTCATGCAGACCGCTGCTAAAAATAGACTAGCAGGCTGAATGGGACTGTGGCCTGAATCTTAATTACAGCTTGAAAAATGCTTTTTATTTCCATCATGGATACTCAAGTCTGACATATTTACATTGCATCCTATGCGGCTGGTATTGGAAATAAACTGCCCAAAGGAGATGTGATCCACTTAAATGCACCAAGATACAAAAAAGCAAATCTTTTTAGCGATGGTTTGTTTGTTTTAAGGCAGAAATCCAGTCAAACAGCCATTAAATTTGTACATTTTCAAGAGTCACATTGTTAATTGGAATTAATAGAATCCTGGGGAATGTGTATAATATATATATATATACACACACACACATATATATATAAAAAAACCAACCCTGATTAGTGTTTTACAAAGTTAAAAACGAGCACCACAAAATCTGAAGCAATTATCTTTTTTTACTCCTTTCAATTTTCTTCCTCTCCTGAAAATGCTGATTCATGCTGTGATAATTCCACCTTTAGCAGGCTAAACCTCTGGGAATCCAGCCTGATGCTCTCTTCACTGATGTGCAAACACACGCACTTTCTAGGAAGGGTCACTTAGCAGTGCTCAGGAGCACAAATCCTGCTGAATTTTACCCTTCCCAGCCCTTGGGCACTGGTGTTAGGTGTCACTATATTGTCTTTCCCTGAATGATGATTACATCATTCTCACTGAAGATTCTTGGAAGTCACATAATTACAATAATGGTAGGTGCTCACTATGATGAGCAAAATGTGGGGTTCAGTGTTTTGACATCTCACTAGCTGCAGTTGTGTTCTGGGTCTAAGCAAGAGATCACACAGAATACTATACCAACAACATGCAGAAAATATAAAAGAAATTAATGGTCACAAAAAGTTATCCTGGACACAATGAAGACAAAAAAACACAATGTAGATCAACAACAACAACAAGATTACATTTGTATCGCACCTTTCACGTCGGGAGGACGTCCCAAAACCATCATTTAGAAAATTAGATTTAGTTAAAAAACAAGCCACAAAAGGGCAGTTATTCAGACTTTCCTCCTTAATTATTCTTCATTTTCTCACTTTCCCTGCTAGGAAGACACTTCTCAAACAGCTGAGAATGAGAATTCACCATGAAAGTCTTGTTTTAGTACTGCACCAATGCTTTTTGCTGTAAGAGGTGCTCAATTTGGGAGAAAGCTGCACAAAGAATTTTGACTCAAATACAATGCATTAATGCTGGAACTTTGATCTCCCTTCAATCTGTCCCATGCACATCAGCATGAAATATATTCTGCTTTATAGAATCTCATTTTTAACATATATAAATAAAATATATTCTGAAATATACAGAGAGACCTGGGGGTCTATATATAATATATACAGAGAGACCTGGGGGTGCAGGTAAATGAATCCTTGAAGGTGGCAGGACAGGTAGATAAGGCTGTATAAAGGGCAAATGGGATTCTAGGCTTTATAAATAGGGGCATAGAGTACAAGAGTCAGGAGGTTATGATTAACCTACATAAAACACTGGTTAGGCCTCAGTTATACTGCACCCAGTTCTGGGCACCACACTATAGGAAGGATGTTAAGGCATTGGAAAGGGTGCAGAGGAGATTTACAAGGATGGTACCAGGAATGAGGGACCTTGATTATGAGGAAAGGCTGGAGAGGCCGGGATTATTCTCATTGGAGCAGAGAAGGTTACGAGGAGACCTAATAGAGGTTTTCAAAACCATGAGGGGATTTGATAGGTTAGAAAGGGAAAAACTGTTTCCACTGGCGGGTGTGTCGGTGACTCGAGGTCACAAATTCAAAATAGTATCTAAAAGAAGCAGAGGGGAGGTGAGAAGACATTTTTTCACGCAGAGAGTTGTTCGAATCTGGAAAGCATTGCCTGAAAAGGTGGTCGAGGCCGATTCGCTAGCTACTTTTAAAAACACATTGGATGGGTATTTGAGGAGCACGGGTTTGCAGGGTTATGGGGAAAGGGCTGGGGAGTGGGATTGACATTAATTGCTCAAAGAGCCGGCACAAACTCGATGGGCTGAATTGCCTCTTTTTGTGCTGTACAATTCTATGATTCTATAATTAGTGGGATACAATTTGTATCCCATCCGTGGCATTGATAACTAACACAGGTAATTCATGAGCATTCAGATCAGCCTACTTGTGAGCTATAAATTCTTATGGGTTTCGCGAATGTGTCTTCATAGAGCTACATATCATTTTGTTTCTTTTCAAAAAAAATTCCAGATGGGGTTTGCTCACCATCTTTTAAAAAGATGGTAAGTGGCAGGAAATGACCTTGGGTGCTACAGTAATACTCACTTGAAAAATATACCAATTAAGTAATCTATGTAATTTGAACAAGGTAAAGAAATCTTAAGAGTATTTACCATGTAACAAGTGGGAATAAAACAAACATCTTCATGTTATATTGTATCCACATATATTCATGTGGCAGTTTTTCTGGAACGCAGAAGAATGGGGCATTGTAATTTGCAAAGTAGCTGGTTTACTTCTGCTGTACCCCAACAGGGAGATTGAACCAAACCTCCAGGAAGAGTGTGTGCATTCTATTCCCATAAATATCTCAGGAATTTCCATGTATAGTTGGGATGCATGGAACTCTCTTTGATTCAGATACTCTAAATCACGGTGATGAGTTTCCACACGTGTCGGACACCTGGCTGACCAAAACAATTGTTTGACTTAAACGGTTAGACTGATCAGTTCTGGATACCTGAAGCTTTAAGCCAATTGGCTGTAGACAGTACTGAGGAAAAAGGCGATTTTATGAGGAAACATCTTTGGGTTAAAATGAGATAAGGTATCTGATAACTTTACTTCCTCTTCACCAAAATAAAGACCATTATAAAAGTTTGAATATTTGTCCATAACATTTTCTTTGCTACCATTTACCTGAGCACTTGGATGATGTGAGGTTGTATAGGAATGGGTAAAACTGCAAACAACGTATTAATTTCAGGTTGTTCAGGTTGTCACATTCTAGACATCTTGTTGTTTTCGCCAATGCTGTCCTGAAGGCTTGAAGAGCTGCACTCACATTCTTCATAGCCAGGTACGCATTTCCCAAGCTTAAAAAAGTCAGTGGCTAACAAGCAGAAACAAAATGGATCACCAAAGTTTATGATTTTCTTTAGCAGTTCAGTACTTTTTTTTAATAAATCTATCAAGTCATCAAATGCTTAATGGGAACTATTGTAAAGTGTAGTACAGTAAAACTTGTTGTATCAGTCGGTACCATAACATTTGATATCACTTATGACCAACAGATAACAATGTGTTTTCTGCGCTTGTCTCAATGGGTCAAGACTTTGCTTCCTGCTCTTGTTTCTAACGGAACACTGCGCATGCATACTTTGCATACATTACGAGTTAGGAGATGATTTATATAGGATTTAGGATGTATAGGATTGGGACCAAGACATTTTTACAAATTAGTTGTTTATTCGATACAAAAAAGACTACTACAAATAAATCAAAATGTTTTTTGGTAGGAAACTGAACGGGACTCGGGTGGTTGTACGATTTAGGCAATTATACAGTTTAAAAGACTTATGCAAACTGTGTGTTTGTAGGTGAATGTGACAGCCATCCATACAGCACTGCCCAACATGAAGTAGATGATCAATTTATATCTAAACACAGCTGCATCCCATCAGTGGAGAGTACAGAACTATACAATATTTTTTGTTTTTTGTCTATACTTCAAAACATTTTTTATTCTTGTTAAACATTAGGAAAAATCAATTTTATTTATTTTATATATTAGGATTAGCCAGAAACTCCGGCTAGCTGGCCCGGACCTCCCCACTTAGTTCGGGGGCTGACTGTAATTATTTTCTTCCCTGCTCTTCTGAAGGTGCTGACTCATTCACTAGTGTGGTTGCCTGAAAGATATCAACTAACTCAGCATATATTGAACCTAGAAGGGCTGCAACGTTGCTAAAATAGTCCTCATGCAAAACGGTGGAATCGTGGTTAATCTTACAACTTGTTTCAAATTTCTGATTGGGTGAATTTAAAAAGGGCATAAATTGCAGATTATCACTTCAAGATTATTATTAGATTCCTTTCACATTGTTAGCTGTTGAGATACGTAATGCTTAACCACCATTTGTGTTAAAGCTAAATCCATAAAAACATTTAAAAAGAAACTGAATACTTGGCATATTGAAAGGGATGAGAAAAGAGCAGGGAACGGGATAAAAGTGGATCGCCGAGGAGAGAGGGAAAAGTGTTGCACCAACACAGACATAATGGACCAAACTGCCTGCCTCCTTCTCTGATGTAAACATTCGGTGATTTCAGTTTTAAGTTTCTCCTGGTGCTGTGTTAAAAATAGTGTTGTGCTTTTTTTCTACTGGCTCAATGGCACCATCGTCAGGTAGCCTTTCATATTACAAATGTTTTGAGGCAAATCCAATGACTTACAAAGTCTCACACAACCCCTGCTGGAAGGTGTGTCTTGGTGAATGTCGGGTGAAGTCAGGGTTACTCTAGGCTATCGAGGCTCTCATGGTTCACTCGTCTGCCACTCACTTTTAGGTTACAGTAATGAAGAATAGCAAACTAGGCAAGGCAGCCACAAGACAGTGCTACTTAACGAATCCCAGTACAGCATGAGATGATATCTCTTGGTAGCTTCAGACATGAGTAGAATGGAACAGCTATCGCAACTTTTACTTCCCCCTCATTCTTCCTTCTGCTCCCATTTCATTCACTTTCTGAAACAGTGTTTCAGAGTCTATTTTTAAAGTCCAACATCTAAATAACAATATGGCCAGAATATAATTATCAGCAACTCAACCTTTGATGCACAAAGTTACATCAAATATAGCAGAAGTATGTCTAATAAGTGTACATATCTGGCCACAAACCTTGGCAATGGTGGGACAAATCAAAATTAGTTTGTCTACATCACTGCTAATAGGACTAAAAATACTAGATTTTTTCAATGCTACTTTTGCTGTACAGCCTGAATGCAAAATGTAATTCAAATATAATGTGGAAAGTTAGTTTCATCTGGCAACGTATACTGTGAGAATTCACCATGCAAGTTAAATTTTGTACTTTACTCTTTACTAGCTGCTGAAAAAGTGGTACATTTGCATGAGTTGGGCAGTGGAATTACACCTTATCAGTAGCTCATTATTCAGAGTACTTTTCAATTATTCCCCCACCCCCACCTGCAATTGATGAAATGACATGAATGAGGCCAATTCACTAATAAGGACTAAATAAGCCAAACTGCCTGCCCTTAAAAGTGAGTCTGAAAAATGTACCAGTTTAAATCGGTTACGCTAAATTTAACTGCTAGACAACTTACCTCTGTGTTGTTAATAGCAAGTGCTTTCAGCAAAAGATTGCTGGCATCCTGATGCAACCCAATATGAATTAGCAGGTTAGCTAAGTTAACTAATGGAATGTCCATATAGTCTTCTGGAACCAAATTCAACGCCCGTCTCAAGCATGCAAGAGCAGAGGTAGTATTCCCAATCGCTCGCCAGTACAGACCTGCTTCATTCAACAACAACCATAGTGGACCAGTTTTCTGGGAGGAAAATGAATTTGTAAATTAATCATTCAAATATCCACAGGCACATTAATCAAGGCGCAATTTGCTGATAATGCTAATAATGAGGTTCAACAACAGGTCAGAACTAGAACATTCACACAGTTCTATTAGATCAAACCATTATAAAGATCCATTATAATTTGGCATACGGTATAATTATCCTAAATATTCCCATAGTATGGAAGCATGAACAATGACTACTAAATCTATGCTGACCACACCTAAATAGCTTTGCCATTCTAATTGTGGAAAGATTTGATCATAAACACAAATAAAAAATGTAAAATGTCACAAACCTACATGAGTTATGCAGTATATATTTGGCAACAAAACAAACTGCTGGGTTGACCTGGGTAACCTAAACTGATACTCGAGCTAGAACTTCTCAACTTATTAAATTCAGGACAAGCCTGTTATTAGCATTGTGTTTTGGGTTCAGTACATTTACTGTGCAAAACAATGCCCAGGTCTCCAATTCCTCTCAAATTTGGTATCATTCACTCACCCTTTTAACAGCCTGTGAGATCACCTCTCCAGCTTCCTCCTCTGTAATATTCAAATGGTAAAACAAAGCCTGCAATGGGAACGTAGACATTTATAATAATGCTGAACTTTTAACATAAAGTATTGTGGCTGTGTTTATTCTGCGCATCGTAAATTTGATCCATTATGTTCATACTCTTGGGGTCACTGGAACACGTAACGGCATATTGTAAAAGCAAAAAATCTATCCATCAGAAAAGGAATTGATCCAATCATTTTTTTGATTACAATACTCAATGGTCAAGGAGCTCTCTTTAACAAAGGTGATATTGTCTTTTCTCAACTCCAATAAAACTTGCACAACTACAGCTTCCAAAGAAGTATTACCTGTTTAGCATAGTGGTCTGGTATTCCGGATTGCAAATCTCGTCTTTTTTCCAGGTCTTTCACTAACTGGTAAAGTTTCTCATTATTGCGGAAATCTAGCATGGAGGAACAGGTTGGAACATGGCTGGCCCCTGCCCTATCCTCGTTTCCTGAAGGCATCAAGAGTGACCAGACACTGGACAAAAGAAAATCATAATTTCTTTGTTATTTAGCGTTCTGTAGAGTTAGAAGACGTCACAATTTATCAGAGATCAGAAGCTTAGGAAAAACAATCTTATTGCTTTTATACAACTGAAGTGAAAGTGACATGCTATTTGGCAAAGCAATATTATTACTTAGTGCATGATAATGTATGATAGAAAGTAGACTTTGTTCGATTATGCATATATGTCTAAAGTAAAGCAGTTTGAGATACTGTGCCAAAAGCTTGACAATAAATTTGCTGGTCTGTAACCTGTTTCGATTTTTCATATATAAAACCATGACAATTTCCATGATTTTCAAAAACATTATGTAGAACTATGTTTCAAGGTACAATAATAATCCTTGCATTTCATATAGTACCTGATCAGGTCATCCTACGTTTCAAAGCACCTCACAGGACTTACTGTTAAATGTAGTGACTGTGTATTTTGTAGCTAAATGCAGCAGCCAATTTTGCGCACCACAATGTTCCATAAGCGGGCATGAAGTGAGTGATTAATCCCTTCACTTTCAGGAGTGTTATGGGATCTTTAACATCCACCTGGACAGTGATGTAACAATTAAGTTCAAATTCATTTATCCTTCAGCTTATGTATAAATTTAGTAAAACGACAAATTACATTAGTATAGCACCTTTAACACCTGCTACTCAGGTATCCAAATTCTTACCCAAAACCTTTGTATTCTGGAGGTAGAAAGTATGTTGGAAGACCAGATGGATTGGGGATTGTTGGATAGGATTGCATACAGTCCGATCTTTTTGGCCACAAAATATCCTGTTAATATAAGCAGAACATGAATCAATATTAAGCCTTTTAAGTAATGCATTTATTTTGTAACTTAATTTTTTTTTGCTTTAATCACTTCCATTACATTCTAGTATAAAGCAGAATAAGAAATGTATAAAATCAGTGAATTATTATTTTTGTAATTTCTAGGATTTTTTTTAAAAAAAGAAACTTTTACAAAAAAACAAGCTCAATGTTTTCCTTTCCCATCTCAAGTCTCTGAAAACGTAAAACGTTTCAAGCACCTGCCTATTTCATTCTCTCAGACAGACTCGCAGAAAGTGCATAGCTCGAGGCAATTCCTCCTCATATATGGGGTGTGATAGGAAAAGAAGCACAAGGTTACAGTTGCAGACCTATATTCTGCTCAGTGGAGCTTAAGCTGCTGTGTATTGCATGAGCTTTGGTTTTATTTTGGGGGAGGGGAAAGACGATAAAGAGTGCCAACGTGACCATTTTTGTGTTTTCTTACTCACGTTATATATGGAGGAACCTTTTCCCCATATGTCCAAAACCGATCGACCTGCTGGTGGTGGTGTTGGGAATTGCAGTTTTTCGTCATTCCAAGTCATATTCATATCATAACTTATCTCAAGTGCCATCATACTAGCAGTTGAACTGTCCTCACCAAACTAAGAAAAATCAGTGTAAATTTTATTGCATTTTTCATTTAATCTTTAAACAGTCATCGTGTGGCAGCAGCACATCGCATCAATGTACAGAATGGGAGATTGAGATCTTGCCTATAACATAAGTGGCCGTGTGTGTCTGTGGTGTGTGCGTGTGTGGGGGGAATTCTTTCAAAGCTCAACATGCAAGTATCAAGTAAGTATTGGTTGAACATATCATCGTAGACAAGCATCAAGTTTGATTCAAATTTTTAAAAAATTGGAAAATAGATATATAAGGAGCTTTTGTTAATAGTTACCATAAAACAGCAGCAGTACTCTCATCTTAGCTAGTAAGCAAACTAAAAGCAGATTGTGATCTGACCAGGTAAATCTTTTACAGGATAAGCCGTACTAATTTGGCTGAAAACTTGTTTTTGGAGCCACTTTTCAGCTGATTCGATAACAATGCTCGCTTGTGGAATAGATGGTGACCAACTTAAAGATCAGAGGTTGATAATATTTTGGTGTAGTCTAGGAAGCCTGGATTTTCCTCCAGCAGTCAATAGTCTGAGGTCAAATTTTATATGTTACAACGAGATTGGGAAATTGAATAGGTATCACATTGTGTCCGTTGCTTGGTAAGCAATCACCTAGCATCAGCTATAAATGCAACTTTTATTTCTTCTTTTTTACCTGCACATATTCTACACTGTCAAATACATCTCCCCTAGTGTAACGCACAGGACGGTCCCACTGGCAGTGCAAAATCTGCTGTTGATTCACCCAGCGACAAATCTGGTGGTTTCCTGGATAAAAGACAAAGTTGCATTCTGAATTTAGTTTCCTGCAATTTTAACTGGAATATTAAATACTAATAAGTTGTGTTTGAAATGTATTTTGAAATACCAGATAACAGTGTTCATGGTCCATCAGCTTCTCAATGTGATGGTTTGAGTATTGTGACAATTACTCAAATAGGCCTAGATTACAGATAGGATTGGCAATATAACTTTGCTTTTTTTTTCGCAAACTTGCCAGATGGTGGCTTTGAATAATGCAGCACTTTATTGGTGCAGGCAGCCTGGCAACAAATTTTGACACTCCTATTTAAAACGTACTGTAGGACACAACATTCAATAAGTCCAATTTATTTGAGATTCAGCTAATGAAACAAATGCCACCAAGCTGATGAGAGTAAAACTTTTTTTTGTCAATGCTATTCAGAAATCATAAATGTTGACCTTTATGCTCGTTAAATATCACGTGAATGCAACGTTATTATGCTTTTTCACACACACAAAAACAAATATTACTAGAATATTCAAGAGCTTAAATTTACTCAACATTTCAAAAGATTTATATACTAAAAAACTCAGAAATCATTTACCTTTGAACTTTATTTCATAATTTAATTTTGTTGTTCACCAAAGTGCAGTGATCTTACCTAGCTGAGTCTCTTTAGCCATTTGTGTTTCATGGATTATGTTTCTCAGTAGCTGTTCATTTTGTATAACTTTGTGTTTCTCCAGTATCTCCTGCTGTCTGAGGTAATGATCATGTTGCTTCTGGTATTCTTTCAGTTCATTTAAAGTCCGCTGCAGAGACCTGTTAGAAAGCAAAATAATACATTATAAAACCACTGAGAATGAAAAGTACAAATAGAATAGTGACAAATAAGACTTGGACATCTATCTGGGCAATAATAATAATAAGGCATCATATAAAGATACTTAATATTTCTTTTGATTCAAATGTCCTTAAAATGTTATGGCATGAAATTGTGAAATCCGCTAGTTTACTCATAACACCCTTGCTGTAGTACAATCTCCACACTAACTGGGCACCAAAAGTTACAATTAAAGCAAGAGAATTGTGCAGCACAACAGGAAAATATCAATCCATGTGGACTGCGGAATTTGCATGCAGATGTAATCTGAAGGTGGTGGTGGATCATTGTTGGGTTGCTACCGACTAGAAACTGGAACAATTAGCTGTCAAATCCAGAGTCGAATAATGAGTCTTGTTATAATGGGGTCAACCTGTAGTATAGCAATAATAACGTAGAAGTTTTCTTGTAGTCTTTCCTCAGCAAATGGTAAGATCAATTGCAAAAGACATTGTCCAGGAACAAAAGTAACGGCTTTAGAGGGAAGAAAACAACTGAGTAAAAACAATCAAATGTTCCCTCCCCCTCGTCATTTACCTGTGTTGTGCCTCCAGCTTCTGCTCCAACTTTTGCTGACATAGAACTGCATGTTTCTTTTTCATAGCATGTTCAAAACCAGGTTTTATGATCAGTGCCTGATCATAACAAAGTACTGAGGTGTTATATGACCCCAACATCTAGAAAAAAAAATTACACCATAAATTGAATGTTGCATTCGCAATGCACAGAATATGGAGATTAAAGTGAAAGAATCTGTTCGACAAGTCTTGATTATTTGATTAGCAAGGCTCTCATTACACAGGAAACTGAACACAGGAAATGGTAATGATATTACAAAAAAAACTGGAGGGTTTTCTGTAAGATGTTCAATGTCTTAATAAGTAGAAAGGAACACCTTAAAGAATCTTGCGAATATATCCCCCATTACTTTCATTACTTCAGTTCTTCAGACCAAATTACTTGTACATATAGAAACACTGGATAGTACCGAGAGGAAATTCTCATTGTATACAGAGGGTCCGTCAACAAGGATGAAAAAAAACACGATCAGATAGAACGTTTGGCAAACTTACCGCATAAATGTTTCCAAGAGTGTAATGGTTTGTGAGGAAATCTGTGGACACATCCATTGCTGCATGGACCAATATGGCTGCATCTGCTGAGAAATGGGCCCGGTGCAATACATTGGCCAAATTCACCAAAGCTACATCTTTATGTTGCCTGTGGGGTTTTTTTGTAAAAAAAACAGAATTTAATTTACAAAGATAATAAAAAATATGGCTTATTGTATTTATTCCATAAGGCACAAAAAACTTTTAAAAATCAATTAACATGTTGAGTACGTGATATAATAAGCTTCACTAACTGATCCAATTATTCTTATATCCTACGCAATACTCCACGCTATCGTTATACAATGTGTTCAGGTTTCTCTGTAATAGTATTAATAATAATAATAATTTTGGCTTTGTACCCCATAATAGTGCAATATTTGAGTTTATTGACTCGAAACAAGCAAGTTATAACTGACTTCTATAATTTATTGGACAAGTTTTATATTTATGGGGAATTTTCAAAACTTTAGCAGTAAACCACAAACGTTTGCTCAAAATCTGTGATCCAGTTAGTAAAACAACTGCAAATACAGATAAATATGAAGTTCCTTCATTTCCCTAATTTGGATTTCTCCTCCCTCCCACTGCTTAATGTTTGTCAGCTTACCGTGGAGAAAAGTGCAGTGCTCGAATAGCACATTCCACCACCTGATATGGCTCATTCTTCATCCTCCAGTAAAAAGAGGCCATATTATACAATACCCATGAAGATATGTTCTAAAAGGAAAAGTGCAATTAATGTTGAGCAAATATGCATACGTTTGATGACTGCCTACAAATACACAATCACTACAAATACAGTAAAACTGTGAAAGATGTTTTGTGATAAGGTGCTATATAAGATGTCAGAATGATTATGTTATTAAATAACAAGGAAACTGCCAATTTAACCTCAAGAAACATCATCCTGAATACTGAGAAGCAACTGATCAAGCATGTCAAGTTAATCACTCACACATTTGTTATGCAGTGAACCAATACCAGTTTATTTTATATTTTCATACAAAGCTACAATCTTTGATAACTAACTCTCTTTTGGAAATGAGGAATGGATTTGGGAAGAGAGCTATCATATTAGGAAATAATTCAAATTTAAAGGGTATATGATACAATAGGTAAGACATTAAAACTGATATGATAAAGTCAAGCAAAGTAGAAAATTGTGTTCCATTTAATACGGTCTCGCCCCCGTATATCAATATTAAAAATACTTGACCATGTTTGAACATGTGCTTTTAAGGATATGTGCATATCTATGTTTTTTAAAAAAATTGGCTAAAAACTACCACCTCTTTAGAGAATACTATAAAAACTACAAGTTAATTATCAATTAGATCAGATCAAGTAACTGACACTCGCCACATAGTGAGGAAGTTGCAGAATCCACAACTTGCCAACTTCCTGTTTTTCAGCAATTGATCCGTGCAACAAGTGAAAGGAGAGCAAAGTGAACACACAAATATCACGCAGAAGTAATTTAGTGGTCAAAGGTGACTCTAGATAGGTATACAGTCCCAAGTTCATCAGCCATGTACATATTTGTTTCAAACCAACAAAGGAATTCTCCCCAATCCACATTTCTTATCTATTCTCTGCCCCACTATTGAATATAGTACCCAAAGTTCTTTTACTTTTTTGTTAACCTACTACCCATTTGAAAAAGGAGTGGCACAGATTCTGTAACAGTGCACAGAGGTATGTATTATTGATGTACAGTAAAAACATTACCACAGATGCAATAGAATGTGGTCATCGATAAATGCAGTGAATTGTGGAAAAATAATCCACAGACTCTGGCACAATACCATCCAATTTAGAGGTACTCCAATTAATATCAGATAATACAGAAATAAAAAAATTGTAAATTATGAATGAGAAAAAACATGGGTACACGATCAGAGCAGATAGATGGGGTGGGGGGGGGAACGTTAGTATCCTCAGACAGGAAGAGACAAATTCCCACTTTGGTGTAAAGTTGCTGGGATTCTATAAACAACAAGATGACTGACAATAACACAATGCTTTGCATTACCCAACTTGATCAGCAAATAAAAGCAAATGGTTATACAAGTATCCAAAACGTATACTTTACCTTGAGCAAGGCGCCATTAATTCGATGCCCTATTTCTTCTAGGTTTCTACCCAACCGTCTTGACAAGCTAAGAAAGATACGATCCTCTTTTGATAACACAGGCGCTGTGAGATTCATACGCTCTTGAACACCCTGATAAAGCAAAAATAAAGTTAATCTCTCCTGTAATACACTCTGAAAATGAGCTGCTTGTAGATCTTCTGAAACAGATGACGATCAGCTCCATTTTGTATGAGACTGATTGTTGGCTTTTCTGGCAATGACATTAAGTGGGAAATATTTTTAATTTTTGCTTGCATTATTTTTTTCACCCAGTATCAGTAACAAGAACTTCGAGGTTAATTGCTGGTTTAATCTCTTTTTGATCTCCCAATAATCTGCCAATTAATACAGTGTATCAAATGAGACCACGAGTTAGAGCCAACAGTACTTTATAACAATAATATTTGGTTTGATGTAGCATATTCAAGTCAGGAGGGCATCCCAAAACACTTTACAGGATTTACTATGAAGTGTAGTAACAATAGGCGAATGCGCCAGTCAATTTGCACACAACAATGTGCTACAAACAGCCACAAAGTTAATGGCTGTGATACCGGGAAAATCTCCCTTCTCTTTTCAAATAGTTCTATGGGATCTTTTAATGTCCACCTGAACAGCAGATGGAACCTCGGTTTAATGAGTCATCCGAAGGATACCACCTCTGATATTGTAGTGCTCCTCCAGCACTTTATTCGAGTGTGAACCTAGACCGTGTTGAAATTCCTGACATGGAGTTTGAAGCCACAATCTTCTGACACTCAGAGGTGAGACTGCTACTAACAGCAGCACAGGAAATTTTGCCATAAGCTGACTGTGGTGGGCAATATATACTGTCTCCTGCTCTGGATGAACAAGACATTCCACGAGAGCTGTTGGTACCAAGAATATTGGTAGATTTAAAATTTATTTATTTTCTTAAATTTACAACAACTTTAAGTTAATACCATAAGTTGGCCATCCCTGCCACAAATTATCTTAAAAGAGATTGCTGGCCATCCAATCAGAAACTCAGTCTTTAACCTACCTACGAGAAATACTAGTTTAATTGCAATTTATTTTATTACCAAGTAAGCTGGGCTAAAAATGATTTACCCTTAAGTGCTGAAAGGCATGAATACTAAAAGGAAGTTCCATCATTTTTGTGCAGTCTGGTTTTTCTAGATCTGGTGGTAATGGGGTCTTTGCATCAATGTATTCTTCAGGGCTGCAAGAAAGAGCATTTTGTCATGATCCACATTTCACAAAAGGTTTAACAGTATTGTGAGAACTAATAGTTTGCGATTTTTGCAGCAGAAGGCTGTAAAAACAAAATCATATCAAATTTCAGTGTAAAGAAGCATACTCCAGACACACAAAACAATTTCACACTTTGTGACTAGCTGCCAAAACCACTTTGTGGTTGTGACATATGTTCAAACTGTTGCGGTATAACTACAGCCAGAGCAAATTGATTAACCATCTGCATTTAAGGAACGATTTGTAATATTGAAGAGCTAGTCATGCAAATATAGCTCCTTAATAAATTTAAACCCTCTTCAGACAATTGAGACCCAGAAATATAAATGGGGGTTGCTTTTCCGATCAATCTAAACAGGACAGAGGTGAAATATGTACCATAGCACTTGAATGAACTAATCCCCATTTAAACTTTGTATGGGTTGAGCAGTTGTCAACCCAATCTACTTGCTCAAATTCTAGGAGACAGCTGTGGCTGGTAATGTCCAAAGCTTGAAAGCAAAGAATAATGCACAACATGGCATAGTAACTGGAGAACACACTGAATAAAAATTACCTGATATGTTTCCTCTCTAAAGAAATGTATGTTCCATCGTATAGATCAAGGTCCCCAAGAGGAACCTTAGCTTTAATGCAGTCAGAGTCTTCTTTGTAATGCCTCTGTTCCAAACCGGTGTCCCGATCTTCATTTTCTTCTATATAAATTTTGCGAGCTACTAAGTGTTTCTGTGTACAAGCAGAATAGATAAACACCTACTGTTTTAATGAGCAACATCAAAGTTATTGAAACAAATTTTGTTTTAACATCAAAAGATTACAATTACGAGAAGCATGTGCTGCATGCAATACAGTGCAATTTTTCTTAAAAATATTTGATATTATCTAGCTCAATGATATTTAGCTCAGGATAATTTAATTTTGCTCGGGCTGACAATTATTCCAAAATTAAGATTTCCCAAAACATCCACTCTCCCTTAGTCAAAAAGTTACTCGACTTACTTCCAACTCCTTGAGGTAGTCAACTGTGGCCTCTTGTCTCATGAAAACCACTAGATCATGTGGATGCTTCAGATTAAGAGGTGAATCTACCTGCCAACGAAAACAAGGTCAAATTTCACAATTCGGCATTCATTTTTTCAAAGTTTTTGAGTTGCGTAATACAAAGCACGACTTACTTTACACATATTCAACAGTATTTGTGTATATTGTTCTTGCTAAATGATGTTTCTCTCCCCCCCCACCCCCCAAAAAAAATAAGTACACAAGATATTTCAAAACAAAACTCCCTCCATTAAATGGGTACGATCTGGTGGCTATTACTGAGACCTGGTTACAGGAAGACCAGGGGTGGGAGCTAAACATTCCGAGCTATTCGACGTATAGGAAAGATAGACAATGTGGAAAACGAGGTGGGGGGGTAGCCCTGCTAATAAAGGATGAGATAAAAACAGTAGAGAGGAAGGATTTTAAATCAGAAAATCAGGATGTACAGTCAGTATGGAGGTAAGAAACAACAAGGGGCAGAAAACACTAGTGGGAGTAGTTTATAGACCCCCAAAACAGCAGTTACAGTATTGGGAGAGTATTAATCAGGAAATTAGAGGAGCATGTAGCAAGGGTAATACACTAATAGTGGGTGATTTCAATCTTCATATAGACTGGGAAAACCAAATTGGCAAAAGTAAATAAAAGGATGAGTTTATAGAATGCATTAGAGATAGTTTTCTAGAACAATATGCTGAGGAACCAACCAGGGAGCAGGCTATCCTAGATCTTGTTTTGTGTAATGAAATAGGGATAATCAGCAATCTGGAAGTTAAGGCTTCACTAGGGCAGAGTGACCATAACATGATGGAATTTAACATTAAGTCAGAGAGTGATATAGTTGAATTCAAAGCAAGGGTCTTAAATTTAAATAAAGCCAACTTTGCAGGTACGAGAGAAGATTTGGCTAAAATAGACTGGGAAATTAGATTAAAAAATGACGATAGACCAGCAATGGCAAACATTTAAAGATATAATACATAACTCCCAGTGATCACATATTCCCTTGGAAAAATAAAAATACCACGGGAAAAGTGGTTCAACCTTGGCTAACTAGAGAAGTTAGTTGAAGTATAAAATTAAAAGAAGAGGCCTATAACACTGCAAAAAAGAGCAGTAAACCTGAGGATTGGGAGGGCTTTAGAGAACAGCAAAGGAAAACCAAGAAACTGATTAAAAGGGAGAAAATGGATTATGAGGACAAACTAGCTAGGAACATAAAGACAGATTGTAAGAGTTTTTACGAGTACATAAAGAGGAAGAGACTATCAAAAGTGAATGTGGGTCCATTGCAGGCAGAGACAGGAGAAATTATAATGGAGAATAAAGAAATGGCAGTCATTAAACAAATATTTCGCTTCTGTCTTCATGTTAGAGGACACTAAAAACTTACGGAAAATAGAGGGGAACCTGGAGGCTAATGTTAGTGAGGAACTTAAAGAAATGAACATCAGTAAAGCAATAGTACCAGAGAAATTGATAGAATTAAAAAACGATAAATCCCCTGGACCTGATGGCCTGCATCCTTGGGTTTTAAAGCGGTGGCTGCCCAGATATTGTTTTTAATCTTCCAAAATTCCCTGGATTCTGGAATGGTTCCCAGTGATTGGAAGGTTGCAAATGTAAGGTCGATATTTAAGAAGGGTGGGAGACAAAAAATGGGGAACTAAAGACCAGTTAGTCTGACATCGGTGGTAGGGAAAATTCTAGAGTCTTCAATTAGGGATGTCATCGTGGGGTACTTAGAATATGATAACATGATTAGGCAGTTAACATGGCTTTATGAAAGGGAATTTATGTTTAACAAATCTTATTGAGTTTTTTCAGGATATAACTAGCAGGTTAGATAGGGGGAATCCAGTAGATGTGGTGTATTTGGATTTCCAGAAGGCATTCGACAAGGTGCCACATTAAAGGCTGTTGCATAAGATTAGAGCCCATGGAATTAAGAATAATATATTAGCACGGATTGGAGAGTGGCTAACAGGAAGAAAACAGAGCGTAGGGATAAACAAGTCCTTCTCAGGTTGGTAGGATGTGACTAGTGGAGTGCCATAAGGATCAGTGCTTGGGCCTCAATTATTTACTGTCTACATCAATGATTTAGATGAGGAAATAGAACTTAACATATCTAAATTCGCAGATGATACAAAGATAGGTGGGAGAATAAGCTGTGAGGATGACACACGAAGAATGCAAGGAAAATAGACAGGTTAGGTGAGTGGGCAAGAAGGTGGCAGATGGAGTATAATGTGGGGAAGTGTGAAGTTATTTACCTAGTTAGTAAAAATAGAAAAACGGATTATTTTCTAGAGGCCGAGAGACTGGGTAGTGTTAGTGTTCAGAGGGATTTGGGTGTCCTTGTACACCAGTCACAAAAAGTTAGCACGCAGGTACAGCAAGCAACTGGGAAGGCTAATGCCATGTTGGCGTTCGTTGCAAAAGGGTTAGAGTACAAGAGTAGGGAGTCTTGCTGCAGTTGCATAAGGCCTTGGTGAGATCGCACCTAGAATATTGTGTGCAGTTTTGGTCTCCTTATTTAAGAAAGGACATACTCCCCTTAGAGGGGGTGCAGTGCAGATTCACTAGGTTGGTTCCTGGGATGAGGGGGTTGACCTATGAGGATAGGTTGAGTAAACTAGGTCTATATTCTCCAGAATATAGAAGAATTAGAGGTGATTTTATAGAAACCTATAAGACTCTTAAGGGTCTTGACAGGGTAGATGCCGTGAAACTATTTCCCCTGGTTGGATAATCTAAAACTAGGGGTCATAGTCTAAAGATTAAGGGTCGGCCTTTTCGAACTGAGTTGAGGAAACATTTCTTCATTCAGAGGGTAGTGAATTTGTGGAATTCTCCACACCAGAAGGTTGTGGATGCTCAGTCCTTGAACATATTCAATACTGAGGTTGATAGATTTCTAAAGGATAGAGGGATTAAGGAATATGAGGATAAGGCGAGTAAATGGAATTAGGTTAGAAGATCAGCCATGATCTTATTAAATGGCGGGGCAGGCTTGAGGGGCTGAATGGCCTACTCCTACATCTTATGGTCTTAAGGCAATTGGTCACTAAACTGATATTTTCAGTATGGGTTAAGCAACATGTTTCACAATATGGTACAGATTTAAAAATTTTAGCACCATGACTCACTAGCAGTTAAACTATTCTGGTTTAAAAGCCATATCAATTAAATGGACACATTGCAGATATGCCACAGTTACTCTCTGGAACTCTATCCCGCACCCCCTCCCTCGCCACCTTCAAGACCCATCTCAAGACCCTCCTCTTCGACCGTGCTTTTGATCTCTCGGTTTCCCCCCGCCCTCCCCCACCCCAGCTTGGGTCCTTAACTGTCTGTCTAACGCCTTGGGACGTCCTCCCGAAGTGAAAGGCGCTTTACAAATGTAATTTTGCTGTTGTTGTTACAGTTGCCACATATGCCACTTTCATTTTATCTTTCAAAACTTTCTTCTATTCACTGAAAGTGGGACTAGTTAACAGACATCGGAAAAATAAGGATTTTAAACTATAAATAGAAATTGAAAGTCTCAATGAGTAAAGATAAAATTTACTGTACATTTTTTGAACATATACTATCATCTGTACACTATCGTGGAGTCCTGTAGCTCAGTGGTAAGAGCACTCGCTTTGCAAGTGAGAGACCTGAGTTCAATTCCAGGCAGAGGGCGAAACCTTGGGCAAGTTTCCTTACTCCACACAGAGCCTAATAATAATCCCTCCAAAACTAAAAACAATAATAAATTGGTCATTTTCAATCCATGACTGTTTGTGGGACATTGCTGTGCGCAATTGGCTGCCGCGTTCGCCCACAAATATAGTCAATTCACTTTACAGTATATTCTGTGAAGCGCTTTGGGACGTCTAGAAGACGTGAAAAGCGCTATATCAAAAAAAATGCAAATCTTTGCAATCAGATTGTGGTCAAATCACGTTGACTTTGCAGTATTTTGGAATTAAGTCTCTCAAAATTAAAATCCAAACCTCTGCACTGTGACCCACAACATAATTAACACAATCTTATTCAAATATCTGAGCATTTTTCAATACAGCCCTCACTTATGTACAGCATTAGTGAAGTGAAAATCAATAGGACCAAGTAAAAGTGCTCTGGCTAACATTTCGTTAGGATTTAAAACTACAATATAATCAGTTTTTTTTAAAAAAATACAAAAGCATTGATTCAACCAGTCCATCAACAGAAGTAAGGAACTCTTTCTTTCCTTCCCTGGTTTCACATTACAATAAACTCCAGATAAATCCACATTGTCTTAACTTGTCAAGACCAATTAAGTCTCCAAGCTGTCAATATCCCGTCTGTTGCCCATGCAAACGATTAAAAAGGGAATCCACTTTAATTTTAACTTCACTTAACACATTCTAGAAATGAGTTACTATAGAAGCACTTAAAAGATAAAATTGTTTGGATACTTTATCCTATAAGATGGGTCTTACATCACCGAGGCCTCTTGTCCTATCTTATAACTGGTGTGGGCACTCAATAGAGGTTGTCCCACCCCTGCGACCTCCTAACCCACTACTAACCCGCCCTTTCCCTCCACCTATGCCGAATTTGCCACTCTAGATAACTAGTTATGCCTAATTTACCTGGATAACTAGTCGCTGAACCCTTTTCCCTTAGAGGATTAAGTTGTAGTGAGTTTACTGTATTTTGCTTCAATGTTCCACTGGATTTTCAGAACTAAAAGCAGCATGAATACTTCTCAGCCTGGGCTCCACTAACATACAGTACAAAAGCACCAACCTATCTATTGACTTTGCTCAAAGACTGTTTGCTGATGTGGAAGCTTTTTCTGTCTGGCTCCAGTTTGTGGCATGGTGGTTTGATACTTTATTTTTGCATTTTCTCTGTATTGAAAATCTCTATTAAGAGTGGATTTCTGCTCAAAAGATAATTTCAGGGCTAAATGGATACTGAGTGAATTATGACTAATTATCAATGGTTCATTGAAGTCTAGTGTTAAAATCCTAACCATACAAACTTTTATTCCCAGCCTTCACGATAATACAAACACAATATGCCAAATGCCCCCTACTGTGCAGAACAATGTGCATTTCTATGCAGTTTTATTCTAACAAGCCATCAGTTAAACAGACATAAAGCATACTTAAGATTCAATGCATATCAGAAAACTCCAATGAGAACAGGAGAGACAGTCATTTGAGAATAATAGACAGCACGGTATATATTCAGGATTTATGAATCCTGCCATTTCAATCTATAGTTCAACACAATCCTTAAAAACAAGGGAGTTTCATCTGGTTTTATTCGTCTGACCCAAATAGGAAGCGACACTTTTATTCAAAGTTCTGAAGTGTGTGTATTTGACAAGAGACTTCAAATGGCTTCCAGCACCATACACCCACATATCGTGATTCACTGCTATTCTTGTAGTGGTGCCAACAGATGAGTGTCCCGAATGGGAACAGGGTTGGGCGCAGGTAAATCCTGCTGAAAAAATGTGTTTCATTCTTGAACACTTGAATAAAACGCTTCAGTCGAGTCAACTTCTGGCGAGCAGAAACTTTGGGAAGTTTGCAGCCGTCATTTGCGGAATTCATCTTTGGGGCAGAAACCCAATCTTGACAAGAGGTTTTTCAGGATTGGCGGTAAAGAGAAAATGCAAAAACAAAGAGAGTCAAACCAGCATGCCACCAACTGGAGACTGGCAGGAAAAAGCTTCCACATCAGCAAACAGCCTTCGCAACTGTCACTTGCGGCGCTTGTGCCGCTTTCGTTCCAGTTGCGACGCTCGGTTCTCGCTTCCTACCTGAGTGATCCACCCAAGAGTTGCAACACAGCCAAAAATTCAAACCCCCGGAAAAAAAAAAACGAGGCGGACAAATTCTTCTGCCCGTAATACCTGCTCTCCCCTCCCCATCAAATACCTTTCCTTGTATACGGTTTTTTCCTCTTTTTTTTTGTTTTTAAATTAAAAAAAAAAGAACTCGTTGAAATCTTACAACTAAATGTTGGTGGTGGTGGTGTTGATGTGTGTGTGGGGGGGGGGGGGGGGGGAAGAGAGAGCTATTTTGGGGGGATCAGACACACAAGACCAGCCCCAACTTGTCCCTTTAGTTTTCAGGGGTGGAATTGAATTGAACTCCAAATTAGGTCCCAGTCAGAATGAAGGGGTTGGGGTGGGGGGGGTTGGGGGGGTATCGAAGCCTATGAGAACCAGAACAAATGGATGAGCCGCAGCAGCAGCACCAGGTGGGGATGGGGAATGTTGACATTATTTAATTTTTTTTGGGGGGGAAAGTTAATTGAGGAGAGGGAACCGAAACCAGACAGTTGTGCGTGTGATGGGGAGGGGGGAGAGGGGAGAGGGAGGGGAGGGGGGGGAGAGGGGGAGGGAGGGGGGGAGAGGGGGTGGTTTCTCTCGACAATTCCGCAACACGGGGGTCGTGTTGTACCAAACCGCTTCAATCCTCCCCTCCCGCCTCCCCCCCCTCGCCTGTCACACGCTGCTGCCCGGCTCAGCTCTGGCGTCGCTTTACCGCACGGCGGGGCCTGGTCACACCCCCCCCCCCCCCCACACACACACACACCCTCCCCCCTCCCTCCCTCTCTCTCTCTCTCTCTCCCCCCTGACTTACTTGCTGCTGGATTTTCCCGTCCTCCGTCACTATCCAGTGCGTGGTGGCCACACAGCTCCCCGCAGCGGTGACCAGGACGCCGAGGAGCAAACCGTAGCCGCTGCTTCTGCTCGGGCTCCCGCCGCCGCCGCCGTCGCCGCGCGCCGCCATGTTCAACTCCAAGGCCCCTCCCTCCCCCCGAGTCGGAGGACTCCCTTCACAACGGGCCGGACGTGCGTCACCGCGGGCCCGGAACCCGCGCCATCACTGTGCGGGGCAGGAGGGCAACACACACACACAACACGGAGGAGGAGTAGCCGCCATCATTGTGCGGGGCAGGAGGGCAACACACGCAACACGGAGGAGTGGCCGCCATCATTGTGCGGGGCAGGAGGGCAACACAACACAGAGTGGCCGCCATCATTGTGCGGGGCAGGAAGACAACACACACACACACACACACAAGGCAGCAATGTCAATGGCAACCTGTTGGCATTTTAGCTGTTAAGACTCCAGCAGTAACCCCCCCCCCACTACCCACCCACTTAGGGGTCCTCCCCCGAGCCTCGCCTCCTGCCAACCTGCGCCTCATGCTTTCCGGGATGAGGTAAACCGGATGGATGCGTTCCCTCCAGGGAGAGAGAGCGCGTGCGTTCCAATCCGACGATCTATCCCCGGGATTTCCCACGTGTTGGCGGGATGCCGTGCGGAAATCTCAAGCTTGGTTTGGATACGCTGAAGCGAGGTGACGGGTTTTCCACGTGCCAAGACACCCGCCCGGCTGACCAGAGAGCTCTCCCCCCCCCCACACCTACAGCATCAGCGTTCAATTAATAATAATAATAATCCTTGCATTTGGTGTAGCACTTCATCGCATTGTTGAGACGTCTTAAAGCGCATCTCAGGATATAATGTAAAGTGGAGTAAGTGATCAAATTTATTTGTGAGGGGGGGGGGGTTATTGGCCAAAACACTGAGAATCTCCCCTCTCAAATAGTGCTTATGGGATCTCAAGTTAGTGCATTTTTAAAAAAAAAATTGGCTCACTGCCCACTCTTCCTGACAACCCGTTCCAACTATTAAATAGTGAAGAAATGCTTACTGGCATCTGACCTCCACAAACCCCAAACTAAAATTTTGGGAACAAGATTGACTTAGCAATGCTCTTCGTTCCCGTTTGATTTCCAAGATTAGGTTTTACGTGCTTGGCAAAGTTACCAATTTGCAGTATATGTAATACAGCATTCGTATGCTTTCTGTGATTAGAATGACTTTGGCATAAAAAAGTATATGGAAACTACACTTTATGTTTTTGTTTTAGCTTTTTACGTCCTTTCTGGTCTTCATCATCTCACATGATTTTTTCTATAAAAAAGGGAAGCTGAAACACTTTTAGGCTTGAGACAATGAAGCTCTATCACCAGTTGCTTTGTATTAGAAGACAAGAGGCTTTCATGGCCTCTGGAGCACGAGCCAACTTTCTTGGTTATTTTCAACAGAGAAGACAGTTTTATCACACAGGAATAAATACTCTAATGCTGTTTGGTACACTATGTTAGTTTAACAGATACTGCCAGCTACCTTTGGCAGTGGGCTGGCATACTAATTTATCATTTCCAAGTAAGTAAATGAAAGGGATAGCTTTTACTTGAAACACATTTATTAAGAGGTACTCATCCCCAGCCGTGTATAAATCTATAACTGTGCTCCATAACCATGCCTAACTGTAGCCATCATTCAGATTTTGGTCATATCTGCAGAAACAAAATAATTTTTTTTGTAAAATATAGTAAGCAGTTTATGCATACATGTTGCAATGCAAAATTGTCAAAAATATGGGTTTAACATGCTTATTGTGTTCTTCTGGCTTCCAACTCTTGTGAATCTGGATTCAACATATTAAATACTACACTTAGATTTGTAAATTTCTGAAGAAGGGTGCAATTTATTTTCTGGTAGGTATATCATTTTCATTTTGACACATTAGGGAATTTTAAAGCCAACTTTTTATACATATTTCATTTGACTTAAATCAGTGTTTGCAAAATAACATTGAGTTGCTAAGAAACCACGTGTCAGCTTGGCTTGGTTAATAACACTCACCACTGGGTGAGTAGCTTGTGGGTTCAAGTTGGAAACTTTGAGTTCATCATCTGTTGAGGAAGCACTGCACTGTAGTAGGTGCCATCCTTCAGACGAGCCATTAAATCTGAGGTCCATTAGCCTGTTCAAATGGACGTTAAAAATCTCATGGTCAACAATTCCTGGAATTGCTTGAGTCCCTCCAGTTAAACTGGTCATTCATCTCCTGGCTGTTTGTCAAACACTGCTGTGTACATATTGGCGTTTACCTGCAAATTCATTCATTACACTTATCAGTAATTATCACGAAGAGTCATCGTCCAAAGTGCATTTTGACAATCTTGGAATGGGGGTATTCACAGAATGATATTTATGCCCGTCTTAAAATTTGCTAAACCTTAATCATTGGAAATGCCTCTTAGAATAATATTATGAGGTGGAATTGCAGCCAGTTTAATATCTCATGATTCCGCATTTTGGTTTAATATCCAGTGGTGGAAGGCACTTTTAAGATTATTCTACTGTCTTAAAGAGTTAATCTATGTTCTGAAATACATTACAGATGAATAAGCAGATGGACAAAGAACTTGATTGATGCACACAGACACACTTACACAATGGCATGCTTGTTTACTAACTTAATATAAAAATTAAAATATGGAGATCAAATTGTTTTCGTCTAACTAATGATGAACAACAACAAATTACCTCGTGTTTGGATGTAACTGCCTTTCAAAATGAAACAACTGAAGAACAAATTTGATACAAGCAATTTGTTTGTCCCAGATCACTGGTCTCTATGCCCAGGATTCCTGAGTGTTGAATGCCCTTGATCAAAGGTGACCATGAAGGACCATGATCCCCATTAGAAAATGCAATTAAAATGGCAGGTGACAAAAGGCTCAGGATGTGCAGATCAGGTCCAGAGAACTCTGCTCAAATATTGTTACCTGACAGAAACTAAATTATGTTCAGTATTATCAGATTAATTTTTACCAAATCGTATCTACTAAATACTGATGTTTTCTTCTCTCCCGCCTCCCTTTGGGGTCACTCTTTTTCTGTTACTAGCTATTTCGTATGAACGCTAATTTAGTTTTGCCATTAATCAGTTTTCCTCCCCCACTAATTGTATAGAAGTCATCTGTTTTCACCGGAAATGTCAACAGTTATTACCGTCACTGTGATATGTTGCAAATATGTGAATTCTAACTACAGGAAAGGGAAACTACACTTTAGAATAGTGGATAAGAATTTTTATAAGAAGTACTGTACCAACACATGCACATATTAAAATAGAGAAAAAAANTTCACATTAGGAAAGTATTGGGGAACAGTATCAAAGGGTTGAATTGAGTTTTGCACGTACCAATTCACATTAGGTTCCAAAGGGAAAGTACCTCTGGGTTTCCTCCATTGCATTAAATGAGTGAAACAACTTTGTGCACAAAGAACGCTGGAGTTTCTGAATCCTCGTACAGGGTTTACCTGTACGAGGATTCAGGAACAGTCGGGACCTTAACATTTAATATGACTTGCGCAAAGTATATATTATATACGACTTATACAAAATTATCTCACTAACTTACGTTTAGTTGTACCTGTAATGCCTGATGCCACGATGGGTCAAGACGTTGTTTTCCACGTTTATTTAAACGTAGTACACTGTACTGTACTTGGTGCTACTGCTTCACTGCAGCTTGTAAGTGCACATGATGGGTCAAGACTTCCGTTTTCTGCACTTGTTTCAAATGAAAACTGCACACGTGGTATTTCAATGCTGCAGTAAGTGCTGTATCAGCATTATGAGTTAGGAGAGGATTTACGTAGGATTTAGGATTATTTGGGACCAAGAAACTATTATCATTTAGCCATTTATCTGACTTTTTTGGGTAGGAAACTAAATGTACGACTCACGTGATGCTGGGATTGTATTTTATGATTAATTTATAATGACATATTGTCAAACAGAAAGTACAAGCCTCTAATACAGCAAAGGCATTTGAGTGAAAAGCTGCAACAGTAAAATGAAAATTGAATTTGTGATTTACTTTACAATCCATCCATTCCTCAATGCTTCTAAATTTCTATATCTATACCTTTTAAATTTGTAAAACTTAGTATAATGTAGTGGTGATGGGAATGACACTAGCAATATGCTTACAATTATATCTGTGAGCGTGCGCTATAGGTTTAATTGGAACCAATCCTAATGTGAACAAATAGCAATAATGAATTCCTGATGTAAAATGTTACAAAACTCAGGTTAGCTTAGAGAAGGGACAGACTCCATCTCTGATCTCCTTCGACAATTCAATCAAAATAACTAATTAAGGAACATAATTTGCTGTTTTCGCACCAGGGCTATTTCCTGACTAACAAATCAAATCTAAAGTGCAATACCTACAAGACATTATTCAGCCAGAACTTCTAAATTGAGTGTCAAGCTACTCCTAGTGAAAATTTGATCAATGAAACAAAACATTTCATGCTACTTATTTATGGTCAATCATATGTAAGGCTCAGCCAAAGATTAATACATATCATTAGTTCACTATCTGGAATAGATTACGGCTAAAATAGTTACACAAGAAAAAGATTTGACTCCTGCATTCGGATTATTAGGAGTGGGTGCACACCAGGGAACCACAGTAGCTGCACAGAGAAGTTACATGATGACTGTTGGGCACTGGACATTAAACTGAAACGATTTCTTTAGGTGTTATCACAGTGGACTGATATTATCATAAACACAAGAGGGGATTAACTAGGGTAGAAAACAAAATAGGGATCAAAGGGGGGACTGCACACAGAGATTTGAGATGAAGCAAATCATTGTACGTCACCACTTGTTATCTGGAATCGAGTACTTTAGTATCTCAGTACTTAACACATGCAAACTACGAAAAACTGCAAGTTTGCATGAATATTGTATTTTAGTACTGGAATATAATATTGCACTTCAGATGTAACTTATGTTTAAATGTCATTGTTCCCAACAGGGCAATGATATTTAAACTTTTTCTCCCCCAAACTCTGTCAAGAGTTGTTCATCTTTTTTTGCACAAAATGGGACGCATGCCCCTAGTGCCATGTTCTACACAAACACTACTCCCCACACTCCCTTTAGTTACTAAAGCTACACCACACTGCAAATAGTACTGATTTGCATCAATACCTTCCAGAAAATTAGCTCCTCAGCTTTTGCTGGCACGTCACAGCAGGTGCCAAGCAGAAGCACTGGATTTTCTCAATAGGGTGGGAGAGGGAAGTTAAAAGTTCTTTTTTAAAAAAAGGGAAATTTGTTTTAATGCACATGCCACCCGATGTCTCTGGCACTGAAAAAGGGCTTCACATTAGATTGCTTGTCTGATGGGAGGAAAAACACATTTAATTCAGTCAGAACAGCAACAGCTCCAATAACTGAGTAAAGCTCGTGCTGCCGAATCCAACATAGCAAGTTTACTCATGCATGTCAAATCCAAAGTCACATCCTTTCTCTTGCCGATTTACTTTCATGGCGCAACAGGAATTCACAAGCACTAAAAAAAAACCCAGAGCAGCGTGAAAACTACGAACTGGCTTCCAGAGTAGTCCTGACCACAAAAGGACCACATGTGAGAGTTTCATATCACTCGTGAGTAGGAAACAGTCAAGTCACACAATACGCTACGGTAAAATGATACCATTTATGTACTTTCCTACCACAATCTAATTTTTACCACGGTGCTTTGCAAAGATGGATTTTGGAATGTCTATTGTTGCTGTGCTTCTGTTTTGAAAAATCCCACAAGTCTAATTATAAACAGAAGAGCCGTATAAAACAAAGGAAAGGAAATAAAAAGCAAATTTTAGAACAAGAGTGGGTTTGCGAAAACAGCTTCACATTCCCACTTATAAACACAGGTTGAAATGTACAAAGGTATCTTTAGAAATGAGGCTTGTTTAAATACAGAATCCTCCTTTGAAGGCTACTGGCAGTTCTTGCAGGTGCTCTGTAAAGATCTCTTCGACATATTTTCACACAGTAACTACTGCAAAACATCCTAGGTGAAAGAGCTGTCAGTTCTAATACAGTCGCCCCCTGCTCCGATTCCCCCGGCCTCCCCAGCCTCGGCCTCTTCCTCCACGAAAGCCACCTCTTTGTTCTGCAAAAAGAAAACAAATTTTGTTTTGTACACATCTTCTCAATCGCTGGTCCTCTTAGTAATATTTTTGAGATATTCATCTTATGTGTTGCTTGGCTCAGATAGTAGCAAAATCATCAGGGAAGCGAAGGATGCACTCGCTCTCATCATCTCAGTTCGAACACCATGATGACCAATTCTGACTGAACAAAGTATAGCTTAGCTATACCTCTTTTATGATTGTCCTTTTTGTTAAACATCAGGATGGTCCGTACAAATCTGCATCTCCTCACCCACCTGACAATTGTCTTGCGTCTGGTTTAAAGAAGCCGGGACTGCCCTTGAGCTCATGAGCTGATTTTGATTGAAACAATGCAGTTACATCAATAATTTACGAGAAAGCTGCAGCTGCAATGAACACAGTTCTTACTTCTGAACCAATTGAACTCATCAAGACACACATACTATCATTTTCTCATAACAATTTATCTAACGTTATACCAAGTAACCTGTAACGTATGTCAAGCTTAGACATAAACGCTACCATTTTGCTGATTCTGATCAGGCTTATAGTTTCTACAAATCATTTCATTACAGACAAGCACATTATAAACAAGATTTACCTGATCAAACAATCAGTTTAATAGCAAACTTGTCATTCCCCAGGTTAGCTAACAAACAAGCATTTCTTACTTATATTTCTGATACCAACATTATATTTTAAGCAGTAATATATTTTTGATTCCAATAGGGTCAGAAAGTTCTGAGTTCAAGCTCTACGATAAGCCTTGAGCTCATAGTCTTGGTGGAGTGCTGTGTTGTTTGAAGATAAAGTCTTTCAGGTGAGACCAACAGTAATCTCCCTGATCTGAATGACAAACTATTTGAGAAGATTATAATTTGTGAAGCTTACCATATGGAAAGTTTCCAAGGTTGCCACTGTATTTGCCACTTGGTGGATTGTAAATCTGTCTGGTGTCCCGTTTTTGTATTGGAGACTGTTTCTTGGGAGGGGATGAAGAAGCATTTTCCTCACTAGCCATTCGCTTTTGCCTATTAGAACCAAAAAAATCTTGTAAATCCAAATTTTTATTTTACATCTTTCTGTGAAAAAATGTTCATGAGTTCGGTTAAAATAAAAGCCATTAATTCCTTTGATACAACATTTAACAACAATTTATTTAAGCATTTAGCACAAGATCAAATCAAAATTGTTAAAACAGACTAGCACCTAGAAATGTCAACAGAATCTATTCATCAATTAGTGAGTGTTCAACTGATACAATTCAAAAGGAGAAGGAAGAGTACAATTCAACATGCTCATAACCTTACTTACCCTCCTTCCACTTTCTGTACAGGCTTCCAGGAAAGGGTGATTGTGCTTTTATAAGAGGGAGGGTTGTGGAACAAATCCTAAGAGGAAAAAAAATCACATTGCACATTATACAAGATTAATTCAGTTTATTTCACTTAGGTGCAGGTCACCAAGGTACATATGAACCACAAAACCAAACAATGTAATGTGCGGTATAACAGTTGCCTACTCTCAGCTGCAACGTTGCAGTGTTGACGTACGCTTAGAGCTCAGCGATCAACTTGTGTATACACAGCTTCTTCGCCCCCCGAAAATTACAAAAATTTGATTATTGGTGATTACCTTGATAAGAACGTTGATGTTATTTGTTATCTTTAGTGCAACAACTTTAATCTTGTTCTGTGAAAAAGAAAAAAAAACATGGTTTACCAAATCTGTCTAAAGGTCCAAGTTATTTTTTTATACCTCATTTTTCATAATTTCATAAAATTCTGCCAATTGAATTCTATCCAACAGTTACTATAATTGAACCACAATATATAGAGTCATGCTAATCAAAGGGTTAATGGTACTAAAATGTCCATTGCAAAACTTCTATGGAACCATTTCCATTACTTAAGTAAGAACACTATTAATAATAATAATAATCCTTGCATTTGATATAGCGCTTTTCACGTCGGGAGGACGTCCCAAAGCGCTTCACAGAACATACTGCAAAGTGAATTGACTGTATATTTGTGGGCGAACGCGGCAGCCAATTGCGCGCAGCAATGTCCCACAAACAGTTGTAGATTGAAAATGACCAATTTATTATTGTTTTGGGTTTTTGGAGGGATTATTATTAGGCTCTGTGTGGAGTAAGGAAACTTGCCCAAGGTTTCGCCCTCTGCCTGGAATTGAACTCGGGGCTCTCGCTTGCAAAGCGAGTGCTCTAACCACTGAGCTACAGGACTCCACTATTAAATTTAAGACTGTGAAGACAATAAGCACTCATACGAACCTCTTCAGTTTTCAAAGCTTCTCCTGTTTTCCCTTGCAGAGCAAGACGAAGCTGCCGAATATAAACTTGCAAACCTCGAGCAAAATACTGCAATCTAAACAAAAATAGCATTTTGGGTTCAATATAGATGAGATGCTAATTTCCTCTTTTTTTCCTCTGAAATTCAAAACTAGTCCACATCTCATCAGGATGAAAATCTCTCTGTTGATTTTAAGGAATCTGGCCCAGTTCCTGACCGCACTATAGCAGTACATTTTTTACCGATGCGGCTGGCATGGGTGATAGATTGCCTCAGCATTTGGCCATACTAGACCTGATCAAAGTATTCAATGCTGACAATAACAAAAGTTAAAAAAAGAGACATTCACCAACTTTCTTGTCAAGATACAGGAACTGAAAGAAAACTTTAAATGATTTTGTGCAAAATAGGCAAATATTTAAAACTTGTTCGTGACTATAAGGAATCATCGGTATTTATAATTATGTCATTTGCGCATCTTGATCCCCTGCAGAACATTCAGCGCATGAAATTAAATATTACAAAACATCGATTCTACCTGATTTTGAAGTCCTTCAATCTATCTGCATTGAGCTTGGCTGTCAGGAAGTCAGGAAGTTTCTTCCCAAGTTGATGGAAGCCAAAAAGTAGACACTCCACATAACTGAACTGCAACTTGGGCTCTTCATTTCCTGCATTTTCTCCGTTTTCTGCTTCTTCTGGGGGCAGTGGCATATATTCCTAGGTGTTTCAGAAATGCAAGTTTACTCAGGAATCCCCTTCTTAGAAATGCTACAGCAATGATCAGTTTCTAAGAATGTTGTAAAAAGGGCTCTCATTGCACCCCTCAACTATATCAACTTGGGTTAAAGGTACACTTCGATAAAACATTTGTCATTCAGATACAATTTTATTCCTGCTCCATGCTGAGTCAACTGGTTTTAGCCAGAACCAGGATTTGGAACAATTAGAGCTCTGCGATATTGGAGGGGAAAAAGTCACTCTTGAATGTGATCCAATGCCACTACGAAAAGTGCACATTTTGATATCAGGCAAGAACAGAATGGGACTGTGATGCCCCTCTGTAGCTTCATAACCTGGCAATGCTCACTAACAAAGCTCTTATATTAAGAACGGCCATTTAAGTAAGTAATAGAGCTGCCATGGCCTGTGGAAGCATTCACTCAGAGGAGGCAGTGTCTTTGAGGGGAGGAGGGAGAATATTAGAGTATTGTTATAGCATTGTGCATACTTTCTGGACCAATGTGAAAATACTTTAAGGTGAAAACAAAAAAAGTTTACATTTGTAAGTTCAGGGCAATTCATAATACTAATGATAAGAAAAATGAACCATAAAGTATAAAAGATTACTCAATCAGAATATACTTAAATAAATGCAGACTTGTCTCAACACTGAACAGTATACACACAGTCCAATAATTTTTTTTATGCTTACCAGCAATTTTTCAAATAACTGTTTCAGGTTGCTTTCTAGCTTTTCCATATCGCCACAGAAAGGTGTCATTTCTGCCAGTAACTTTAAAACCTGAAAAGAGTATGGATTCAAACACCAGTTAAAAATTCTGCATTTCAACTTTAAAACAACAGTCACTTGCACATTGTGTTCCATTTAAAAAAATACATAGGGAAAAATAAAACAAATCTTTGAAATATCAGGATATTAAGTCATAGCTTAAAATCCATGATAAAATTAGAAGCCAGTCAATGCAACAGAAGATTTTTCAAAATTTTATTGAACTTTATAATGAGATTAATATAAACTGTGGAGATAGATTTGCACCCATTTTCAATCAGGTTTTCCAATTCCTTTCTCATGACAATCACAAATCTTGTGATAAACTGTTGGTTTCCAACCACTAATAAAGGTTTTAATGCTTCAATTTTCTCAAATCATTTAAGAAACCAGTTTGGGATTAATTTATATAATCAGGAATGATACCCCATGATAAACTGAATTTTGCTGCTTGCTGACCAAACCGCTCAATGATTGATTGCACAGATGGTTACATAAATGTACAAATAATCATTGTACTTTAACACATGAAAGCTTTATCAAGACTGTATTTTGATAAACAACTTGTATGTAAATGAAATGAATCAGTGAATTTAAGTATTTGTGTATCTTACCTCTAACTGAATGTCAAGTCCTTCCACTGGACTTGTGAGGGAGCTTAGATTTGGCAGCACTTGTTCACAAAAATATGTGACAAACTTGGTTGAATGTACATTTTTCTGAAAAATAAAACAATGCCTTCAATGGGCAATCTAAATTCTCACAAAATGCACATATTAGCAATGTGACAGTATGAAAAGCAACTAGATATGCTGAAGTTTAAATGCAGCATTAAAGACTGCAAAGAAAACCAGGGATTTATCAGTATCATGATCTATATCCACCCCTTTTACACCCAAACATTTGATACACAGTAATTAGAAACCCCACAAAATTTTTTTTTGCAAAAGATAACCTTTTCATCCAGCTTCTCTCAAATATAACTTAAAATTAAGTAAAATCTTACTGAAAAAAGTGGCACTGCTTGTCTTGTGCACTGCAGAAGCCTGTCCACGGAGTCTGGGTCCGAAGAATTAAACACCTGCTCCAAATCTGCCTGCTCAGCCACCAGCTCTACCAGCTGTTGTCGGCCACTTACTGTCTGAAGGTTTTTCAGGCCAGAGAGAATCTTCATAAACAAGACAAACTCCTCTCCTGTAACATCATCAAGAACCTAAAAATAAAGTATGCATGCAAACGTTTATGTTTTACAGAACAGTTCTCTGAATCATGTATATTAGGAAAATAATGAGGATTTTTATGATACACTTTTACCGAGGAGTTTTGTATTCCTACACTTTATTTCCTCATTAATGGTCTTTGGCTCTAGTCAATTTAGTATTTCTGCTGCTATGTATTCTGAAAATAGGTATTCTTGGAATTTTATAACAAGGTGTGTATTGTTGAAACCAAGATCTTTTGAAACTTCTGCAAACACATCCCTTACGTTTGACTTCAATTCATTGCCACATGGTGAATATATTTTTTTAAGTGTATGTGCAGAGTCATACCTTTCATTTTAAAACTTTTTTTTAATAAACCAAACAGCACGACTGTTTCCCCTTTCTTACCCATTTCCTCAGACGCACACAAGCACAGCTGAGGACAGATGGTCATCAGAACATCTCTCTATCATAGAGTCAGCATATTTCTGCAGTTAGCTGATCGAATGCACTTTTGCGCATTTGTGGAATCCATAGCAGTGTTCCTCCCTTCAAATTGGCTGGGCAATTGAGCTTTATTAATTGGCAGGTTTCATCAACATAATATAGTTTTTGACAAAATGCACTGGTGCTTTTCCTTCTCCTTTCTCCCAAAGTCATTACTCAAGATATTTTTAGACAGTATTTTCCTAAAAGATTTCTTATATTTCTTTTCTTCAGCAATACAGCATAAAAGGTAACTGCACTCTAATTCCAATGCAATCCTGAGAAAAAGGAAGAAAAAACAGCTCACCACAGAAAATCAAATCCTGACCATTTTTGTGGATTACAAAACAGCATCCAGGTTATAAGATGATAACAGATTATAAATTTATAAACTCCATAATGACTCCAATAGATGCTCAGTTCTTAAAACTTAATTCGTGCCACTGTCACAGCAGTACCTGAAACCTCGATCCTGTGATCTTCACTGTGGCTTCAACTTCAAATTATACGATGTACAGCAATCATTTAATCTCTTAAACAGCCAAGTTTTATTGTGGAAGCGGTTGATACAATATTTTTCACTACACATCTGATTCATAAGGACAGGTCATATCCATATAATTTAGTTTAATGATGGAGATTACAATTCATGTCTGATTTGAAGTGTATTTTAAAACTCGCCTTTAATTTTTTCTTGATGCTCCACTATTATGACCACTGAATTCATGCTTGGGCATGTGCAAGTATTTTCAGGATGCTACTGTATCAGTACATCAAAGTCAACACAAGATTAAACTTTAGAAGCAAATATATAATGATCATCTAATATCGCAAAAAGTGCTAAGTGCTCCACTGGATCATTGAAATACAACTCGTCTTCAACAACAACAACAACAGCAGCAGCAACAAACTGCATTTATATAGGTCTTAATTAATCTATTAATTAGGAACGTGACCGAAGGCACGATCGAAGAAGAAGGTCTTGAGATGGGCCTTGAAGGAGGCAAGGGTGGGGGCGAGGCTGAAGGGCTCCGGGATAGAGTTCCAGGAGATGGGGGCAGAAAGGCTGAAGCTCCATCCTCCAATGGTACATTTGGCTTCACAATTGAACATAACTTTACCTTTTTAGACTCGACAAAGATGTATTCTTCCACTTCTTTAGTCATTACTTCCTCTGGTAGGGCCTTTAGTTTTGTGGAAAGGAATTTTATGGCACGCTCTCTCACAATATCTTCACCTTGCATTATCTGTGTGAAAAGGCCCCCTAAGGTTCCTTTCAGAGAAAATATAAAAAAGACTAATTTTAAATATACTGTACAAGGTTTAAAGTCATTACAGTAAAATAACCATTTGATCTAAAGAGAATAATTAGAGAAAATTACATTACAGAAATTGCACAATGTTCATCCCTTTGACAACTTATTTTTTCTATATGAAATGGTTAAACTGATTTTACCATACACTTACTTTACACCCATAACCATGCATTAAATAAAGTAAAAAAAACTTCTCCTTCTGAAATGCATTGTGTTTGTTCATCGCGCTTCAAACTAGAACAAAGGAAAGCTAACTGATTATAATAATAATAATAATAATAATCCTTGCATTTGATATAGCGCTTTTCACGTCGGGAGGACGTCCCAAAGCGCTTCACAGAACACACTGTAAAGTGAATTGACTGTATATTTGTGGGCGAACGCGGCAGCCAATTGCGCACAGCAATGTCCCACAAACAGTCGTAGATTGAAAATGACCAATTTATTATTATTTTGTTTTTTTGGAGGGATTATTATTAGGCGTGTGGAGTAAGGAAACTTGCCCTAGGTTTCGCCCTGACTGGAATTGAACTCAGGTCTCTCACTTGCAAAGCGAGTGCTCTAACCACTGAGCTACAGGACTCCACAACCATGTGCACTTACCGGCCAGCTGCAATGAATCGCGGGAAACATAGTCTTGAACCATTGCCTGATGCGCAAAAGAACTTCCATTTCCTGCGATTCAATGCTTCATCAGTTAGGGTACCAGCTGACTGGTAAAGTCAAAACAAAGGCACAACTTCTGTGTCTAAAGATACCTCAAAACTATCAAGCCCAGATATTTACCCAATTAATGTCAATGTTTGAATAGAATATTGAAATGTATTTGAAAAAATACTCACCTTTGGCATCGATCTTGAATATGGATATTAATGCATTATTAACCAAATTGAATTCAGCATTATCATCTAAAAAAATAAATATATAATTGTTGTCATCAGACCACAGGTACATATAATTATGCTTCTCTTTAAGGTTACAGCTGGTATACATCCAAATCTAATAGCTATTTAAATACAAGTATAAAGTAGCTCTAACACGAGTATTCATTGTCACCCATTCAGGCAGAGGGGGTTATTTTTAGTATCACTGTATTTAGAAGTTAGAGATTCCTTTTAAGAAACTGATACTCAAATTAATCTCATATAGTTACAGATTTAGTCTAAAACTAAAATAGGTGCTTTATTAATCTCTTGGATTGGCATTATTTAGTGTCACCCTGTGTCAATTAGTAGCATTCCCACCTGAGTCAGAGGTTATGGGTTCAAGGCCATGTGTGCTCATAATCTCGGTTGACAATTCAGTGCAATGCTGGAGGAGCACTGCATTAGTGAAGATACCATCTTTCGCATGAGACATTAATCTAAGGTTAATGCTCTCACCACTGAATGCAAAACTATAGTAAAGGAAGATTTAAAGAGAAATTCTCAGTAGAAATATCCTACGCTGCCACAAAGTAAACATACCAGTTTGTAAAAGCTGTGTTAATATATCTGCAACTCTGGGAAGATTTTCTCCGGTTGCAAATTGAGGCAGCTCCTTAATGGCTTGGCGACGAATCTAAAAAAAAAGATACTTAAAACTTTTGCCGTGCAGAAGATTTTGAAAATATGCAAATAACAAGTCTCCTCGTCAACAACAAAAATCGAAGATTTAAAAAACTAAAATGAACTCTTACAGAAAGATCTTCATCTTCACAAAGATCCAATTGAGCGTTGATAGCACTATCTGCCAATTCCGGAAAATGTTTAAAGAACTTTGGAATAAATTGTGCTGCCAGGCGTTTTTCTTTTGCGCCGCTCTTCACCCCATCTAGGATAGCCTGATAGGAATCTTTATACTGTAAAGGACAAGAAAAACATAAACATACTGGAGTAGGAATTCTACAAAATGCAGTAAACACAAGTAATATTCCACTGATTGGAAAACACAGTGAAAAGTGAAGATAAGTGAGAAAAAAATCAGCTTCATGTGATTGTAAGGTAAACAAAAGTCACAAACATAACTGCCTAGATTATAGTTAACATGTGGGGCGTTACTGCTGACTTGCTTAACAGGTTTTTATCTAGAACGAACTTGAAAACAATCTAAAACATAATAAAAATATAATAGTAAATAAAGAGTGTAAACTTTAGAAACAAAGCTATATGTGTTGTACTAAAGTTTCTTAATGATTTATTTCAAACCAGTGAAAATTTACATACTATTTTGTTACAGTTAAGGACTTAATTTAAACAGCAAGTTTACAAACTTTCTAAATGTTTACCTACAGAAATATATCGCTCCTGCATGATTGCGTACCCTGTGTCATTCGTAGCTTTAAAAATACTGAACGTGTTTTTCATAGCAAAGTCAGCCAAAGAATAATTCAATGCAATATTGAAATAAAACTACTGCAATACAATATGTGGGATTTTTAATTTCAAGAAAACATCGTCCTGTGGAGCCAAACGATGTTGCAGGATCAGCGTATTACTAAACCTTACCAAATGTTAGATTAGCAGTAACCAAAGTCAAAGAAAATATGCAGTTTGTTTTGTCTACTACAGGATGGCTGGAAGTACCGGTTCCCTTGATCTTCTGACACAACTACATTAAACACCGTAGACCTTGTAAAGCAATGGGGATATTTAACCCCTGAACGTGTTAGTGTGTGTGTGTGTGTGTGTGTAGAGCGAATTAGAGAGATGAAGGACAAAGTCTTTCACTGTGTTCTAAACTCAAGATCGATTTAGATTTAAGTGTGTGTGTGTGTGTGTGTGTGGTGGTCGGGGGGGGGGAATAGGGGCAGATTGAGGTTTAACATTTCCCCCCAAAAGGTTTCAACACCTTTCTCCACTTAGCATTGTAATCCATTAAATCCATCCACCGCCGCGCTCCCCCCTCCCCGCCCCAACCCCGCACACATTGAGCATCTAAAATGATGCTGAACCTGCAGTGAAACGGGCGGGAGGAAGTGTGTGCGCTAAACACCTCGATCAGGTGTGACCTCGCTCTCCCCTCCCCCGACAAGAGCCTTACCACATAATAATCACAACAACAACAATAATAATAATTCTTGCATTTGATACAGCACCTGATCACATTGAGACGTCTCGAAGCCCATCTCAGCGTTATAACTGCATTGAGAATTGACTGTATATAAAATATATTCTGCATATATCCACATATATATATATATATACACACACACACACAGACGCACTACATATAAAGAATAAACGGCGTAAAATAGAATACACCGTATGTTGTTGCACCCACAAAAAAAAGACAGTCACTTCACTTGAACAGTGTAGTCCGTGAAGCGCTTCGAGGCGTCTCGAAGACGTGATGAGGCGCCGAATCCAACGTTAAGATTATTATTATTATTATCATTATCATTGTAAAATAAACTGACGATTATCTTTTGTGTAGAAAATAGAGGGAGGGGGGAGGGAGGGGGGGGGAGAGCCCGAGGCAGCGCCGCCGACAACTGGGCAGAGAAAATCCTCATTATTATACACATATATACATATATTTATCTTTAAGTGTAAAATATACATTACATAAAGGCCTCTGTGTGTGTGTGTGTGTGTGGAGGGCAGCCCGGGGGGGGGGGGGGGGGGGGGAGGAGATGGAGCTGCTACGCAGGTGAGACCGAGGCCTACACTCCGCGCTCCGGGGCCTGGAGTCCCCGCCGCCGCCTGAGCAGCCCCGGCCTCCCGCTCGCGGCCTCTCCCCCCCCTCTCTCTCTCTCTCTGCCGCTCACCTGACCCACGTTGTCGGTGGCGTCCGCCAAGATGCCGTAGTTACGGTACAGCTCCTCCACCGTAGTCATCGTGTGGCGCGGGGACCGACTGACCGAGCGACTGCACTGCACTGACTGGACTGGACTCGGGCGAACGCGCTCTCCTGCCGTCGGCGCCACTCCTGCACCACCGCCCCCCCCCCCCCGCCCCCTGCAGCGCCCCCTGCAGCCCGGGAGGTCGGGTGGCCGGCGGGACAAACAGCGCCCTCTGCAGGCCGGGAGGGTCCATCATCATCATCAGCATCATCAGCATCAGCATCAGCAGCAAATTAATGCAATTAAAAATGCATTTAATGACATTAATTTAATGTCATTCGTTTCATGCAATTAAACGCATCTGCATTCGATGCTTTAAATGCATTGGATCACCGAACGCAAATGCGTGCAATTGCGTTTCGTGGGGCGTCGGGAAGACGGACGCCCCGAAGCGCTTCGCGGGATGAATAGCCACCGTCCTCGCCGTCGGACGCAGCGACCGGTCGAGACGTCTCAAAGGCGCCTCGCGGGCACACGTTACGTTGTTGGAACGGAATGGATCGGCTGCGTATTTCGTGGGCTTCACCAGACGCGGTCGGCGCACGATGAGGGTGTCCCGTCAAGTGGACCGGCCGGGTATTTTGTGGGCGCCAACGCAGGCAGCCAGTTGCGCGCCGCAGCGTCCCACCTTGGGGCGAGCGACCAATTTTATTGGGGGTGGGTGGGGGGATTCTCGGCCAGGAGCAGAGTAAGAGTTAACAGCTGTGGGGACCTTTAGCTCAGTGGTTGGAGCACTCGCTTTGCAAGCGAGAGACCTGAGTTCAATTCCAGGCAGAGGGCGAAACCTTGGGCAAGTTTCCTTACTCCACACAGAGCCTAATAATAGTCCCTCCAAAACCAAAAACAATAATAAATTGGTCATTTTCAATCTACGACTGTTTGTGGGACATTGCTGTGCGCAATTGGCTGCCGCGTTCGCCCACAAATATACAGTCAATTCACTTTACAGTGTGTTCTGTGAAGCGCTTTGGGACGTCCTCCCGACGTGAAAAGCGCTATATCAAATGCAAGGATTATTATTATTATTATTATTTAGCGTGCAGCTTGAATCGGGTCCCAGATTGCCTCTATTCGAGTTGCACGTTTAAAACGGAGGGCACTTCGACGTTCTGAAAATACGTTCACTTGAAGGGCGTTTGGCCGACTTGACTTTTCACGAGTACTTCAGTCATAAATAAACGACAATGGCAAAGAGCGCCTTTAGCGCCGACGTGATGACTTTATAGAAAGGTAATACAAATATAAATAAGTCCGAATTTTTGTATTTGTGAAAGATCAAACAGGTTGCAAGACGCAGACGGAATAGCAGGAGCGCAAGCAAGAAATTACACTCGTATCAGCGATGATGCAATAAAAGATTCGAAAAATCCCAAATATTATGGCTTTCATTTACTCTGCTGTCTCTTGAAACATTTATTTTGCAAACAATCTACCTGAAATATTGCACTAATTATCAGAAAATAAATCTATGCAACAATCCTCTGAGGGAAGTAGAATGTGGTCCATTATCATTGAGAAGCAATCGCTTTCACCTGCAGTAAGTTCTTACAGATGATGAGTTGGTTACTTCTTTGTACAGCACATTTTCCAAGAGTCGTTCTGCTTTTCCGAAACGAGCTCCATATTTTGCATCACAAAAAAACTGCTGAATACGGAAAGAATATTAACCCTAACTGCCTGGCACATAAAAAATAGATTGAATACGAGGGGCAAATAAATACTGAATTGAATATTGAACATTTGTTGTGAGCACAGAAACAATGAATGAACTCTGAGTATCTATGCAGCAGCGCAATCGAGAAGCCTCACTGAAAGCAATTGAATCCAGGTACAGTCGCATCAGTTTATGTGCAATTTGGATATATTGTTTAATCTGTGTGTATCAGATTTCACTCTAATAGCATTCCAGCGGATTTTAATACAAATCTATGCTTACAGGTTCTGGAATAGATCCGAAGCAAAACATAAGATAAATACCTGATCGTATTCATATGATTGACATTTGGGCTGGCTGCCAGTTGTCTGTACCGTATCCAGATATAACTGAACATTTGACATCTGAAAGGCTAAGCCAAGTTGGATAAACCACCGATGGGAGGAAAATCATAAGCATTGGACTCCTGGCATTTACTCTCAGGTTCTTCCGCACAATGCATCATCTGTTCTAGGTTGGCTGTGTGATAAAATCAGAGCAGTGTTGATCACATACACTAGGTGGTATTAGTGAACAGTATTACCTACCCCATGCTTGTTGTAGTGGATCAATTTGAATGGGGGTGAGGGAGAGAAAAGGGGGAACTATTTACATACTGCTTTTTTTTTTGCACGATAATCTCATTTGTTTATTGCAGAATCGTACATGAAAATCATTTCACTTGAGGTGTAAAAGAGTGGCATGGCATAAGATTGTGTTTTTTTTGGTGGCTGAATTATGATCAGTTGCAGAGCTTCAACAATCAGCAGAGGACAACGAAAAGCTTGGAGCAATTACAAAGCAACAACCCCAATGAGGTGGTCATGTCAGACGATAAAGAACTCCAGCTGTTTCTGTCTATCCTCTGCACACTCAATTTCTGGTAGTGGGGTTGTGGTGAATCATACTGACTGCCAATATATTCCATGTGGTTGACAAGTGATGACACTCACGATGAAGGCGCAGTGTCACAATTGTTGCCGAACTGCTGCAAACACATTGAGTAATAATCAATCGTTCAATACTGCAAAAACAGGGCATTCAATATATATTGCAATGTTGATTATGAATACGTCGCGTGCTTCCAAGAAAATCTCACCGAGAGATTCGGACATCGAATAAAGCATAATTTAACTGTCACCTGAAACTAAAGTCAGATTGATTCCAGGTGAACTTACTTCTACTCATCCGATGTAAATCTATTATTTTATTCATATTGAAGTGTTGTACGGGCAATTTTCTTTTACATACCAGAAATCGGCAGTGAGAACACTTAGTTTAATTAACGCAAAATGATGATCCCACTGAAAAGTGCAACTTCTGTTGCAATATCAAATGCAAGGATTATTATTATTATTATTATTATTATTATTATTATTATTATTATTAACCATGCCGACGGTTTAAGCTGCAATGTGGGCCACTGGAAAATGGTACATTTATGATATATAGAGCCATACGAAAACATTAAAAAAAACGTGGTATGAACTCTTTCTAATCCTAGATCACCATTTTAGATGTCAGTTGGCTGAGCAGACAACACATTTCTGTTGACCTGCAGCCTGACCCAATTCCCAGGCAGTGCATGACACACTACAAGACATGATACACTCAAAATCACATTGTCTGTGTGTGTGTCTCTTTCTGGAAATGTGTTTCTATCTGTGTCTCCGAGTGTGTGTGTGTCTCTCTCGGGGTCTCTGTCTCTGTATCTGTGTGTGTGTGTGTCTCTCTCTGTGTGTCTCTGTCTGTGCCTGTGTGTGTGTCTCTCTCTGGGTCTCTGTCTCTCTCTATATATGTGTGTGTGTGTGTGAATGTGTGTGTGTCTCTCTCTTTGGGTCTCTGCCCCTGTAGGCTCGCAGTCAGGATACTGGTCCTGAGTTTTTTGGCGGATCTCCAGACCTTTCGGACCTGTGCTGGTGTCCCCCCAACACCCAAATAGGTATAATTAAAATATAATTAAAATATAGTTACAGACTTGTGGATAATGGGATCAATTCTTAATACTGTGGTACTATTAGCAATACACAGTGGTAATGACAACAATATCCATTAATGATAAAAGGATGCAAAAGTATTTCTATGAAAAAATAGAGGTGAAAAAACATGAGTTTATAATGCCAAAACCACAATGTAGTGCACAAATTCTGTGAGATAAGAACAAATTGAAAATCATTGATATTGAATATCAATAATAATTATGTCATTATGTAACACAACACACAGGAGTGTCAATTCTGAACATTTCCTTGGAATTAGAAAAACTAACAATCGTGCTGAAAGCAGATTATTCTGTTGCATGTTACTTTGAATTATGTTGGGGCTGTTGTACTCACCTAAACTATAAAGATAACAGTAGAGGCTCCATTTCAATTTCACAAAACTGAACATTGTCCAAAATCAATAGCTTTCAATGGAAAGGAAAGAACACTTATTTTATTCAAGAATAAACAAATTCGAAAATCATTATCACGTTGGATGGTGAAGAACTGGTAATTAAAGCAGTGTCATTTATTTATTGATGAAACCCAAAGATACCCTTTGTTTTCTCAGTTTACCAGACTTTTTTTCAGGACCATGCCAGCAGAATAAAGTGGCATGTAAAGCTGAAAGGCCAATCTTCAGAAATCAATTACGCATTTCAGAAATGACTGTAACCAGCGAGATTCAAGGAGAACAAACCCAAATCAGATCAGTTCATATCAATGTTGTGGGCTCAATGTATCTTCAGTACTGGACTGATACTATCTCTTGCTTGTCAGTCATTGCACCAAATATATTGCATTTAAATTATGCAGCATTCTAAGTTACAATATTGGAATAATGTTTTCATTTACTTAGCCAGGAGAGAGAAAGAGAGAGAGTGAATTTAGCTCATTGAGGGGCACATGGACTGAATTGTACGAATTCCATACTTTATGCATTCATGTACACATAAGTGGCCTTTGAAAGAATTGACCTCATTGAATTGTCCATAACCTAAACAAGATGTCGCTTTGTTGGCTGAATATGTAGGCCGTGGATTCAGTGTTCACTCTGAGGCATTACAGGAAAATTCTTAAAATCTCACTGTATATTACAAGGTGGACATGATATTTTCTCTCAAAACCTTGAACCCAAGCTCCCACCCGTGTATTATATTTGCCATGCAATTTGTGACTTTCTATAATAAGAGGTCACTGACCTCCAGGTGAGGAGCTGAATCAACATACGTAGCTGTATCGACGAGATTACTGAAGCACCAAAGGTTGATCACTGTGCGTCCAGTGATGTTAATTCAGCTCCATCATGCCATCAAGCTCAGTCATGTTCATGTTCATCTGATGCGCAACAGAACATTGCTATTTTAGAAGCTAGATTTTTTCATACAAATTTGGTCTACAGAAATTGCTCAATGAAAAGCACTGCCC